TTTAGACTTTTTCAATGAATTCGAAAATATTGAAAACAGGTGAGTTTGGAAAGCATTGTTTTCATGGAGATATATTCGCATCAATGATTATTTATTCAATTTCAGAGAAATGCACAGAATACATTTCCAAAATATACGTGATGCCAGCAACCCATTTGAACTATCTGTGTGTATGTTTCAGATATTGATGAGCTCACAGAAGGAAGATATGTTAGGCAACAACCAACAAGTAGTGAACCTCATACAAGGGATGTAATGAACTACATAATAATTTGTAAATACATAAAAATAAAATATATATTCTGAAAGTGCAAAAAAAGGAACAAATCTCATTATCACAATCATATTAACAAAAAATCAAATACTGAAAGTGCAAAAAAAGGAACAAATCTCATTATCACAATCATATTAACAAAAAATCAAATAGTAATTTCAAAAATAAAGTTGTTGAAGAGGTATTTTCCTTGATCACGGCTGTGGCAATGTTTGAGAGAGATTCTGCGAGCTGAGAAATTGCAGCAGCCATTTCTTTGACTGCTATAGCCATTTGTTCGGTGCTATGGCTATAAAGCATAGCAGAATTCTCCAGCTTTGTGGAAGAACTAATTGTCTTAACTTTTTTTTCCTCTGTGGAATTGGAATTTTTGGGAAAGTAGCACCTGTAACAAAAATTATTTCTATAAGCAATAATTTCAACATAGAACTTTTACCTACCTAAATATTTGACAGAAAATACAGAGAAGAATTATTTCATGGTATATTCAAAGATATAATATCCAAATGTCATTGTACACTACAACTACCTATTAATTATATTATACCTGCTTCATTTTTCTTAGATGTAGCTATCTCTGGTTCAATAATTGGTATGTCATTTTCAATAATAAGCTCAGGAGACTGTTTTCAACCTCTTCACCATCAGGGTCTACCTCAGGTGGTGCTTCAGGACATCCAATTATATGAATCCATCCAAAAATTGCCATAAGCTGATTTTCAAGATCACCTAAGTCCGTGCAAATATATCCACCACCACCTGTCTGCCTGATAGAATTATAATTCAAGCAAGGTTTCTTCTTAGTTTTTGATTTCCATTCATATAAGTACTGAAAAAAGATTAATTTGAAAACTAAGTAGGTACATGAGTACAAATGATACCTATATAAAAATGTGCAATATTGTACTGAATTGTATATGTACTCACGGTTTTCCATTGTTTTTTTTTTTTCTTTTCGAGCCCCATTTTCAACAGTATTCAGTAATACTGTTGATTCTTCCCAATTATCATCATGCTCACTGGGATTCAAGGGATGCGTTTTTCCAGTTACTAGTACTCTATTTTGTTCCAAAAAGTTCACAATCATTTCCATCTGTGCTTTATTAGTTTTTTTATTCCTCACAGACATATTTCATTAAAACAGTAGGACAAAATACAAAAGTAAAAAATATTGACAGAAAAATGAAAGTAAGGTTAACTTCTTCTTTTTCACACAAAAGTCATGAAATACAGTGTTGTCAGCTCTGAATTCACCGATTATTGAAGTTCTTGATAACAATATTGCTGGAAGGAAATTTATAACCAACCTTGCTATAAACAGTATACGAACAGAATACATAATGCTATAACCATATTGTTATGAGTTAGGAGGATAGCAATATGACTTGAACAGCAAGGTTTATAGCAATGTGCGAACAGAATCGACCCGAATACCATACCTATTATATTTTATGGCAAAGTTTGATGAAAAGAGGCTGACCGACATAATACCATAACTAAATATTATACAGATTCCAAATTGGTAGCGTTTTGAACCGAACTTTTTCCGAACTGAGCGAGTTCTGCGTGTTGCCTTCCTAAATAAAATAGTCCAGTGTCCACTCGCCTTTTAGAGCACTAAATTTATGGAAGAGTTAGCTATAGATCCAGGCTAACTCTTGATGTTCCATCGATGGTCCCATTTTGTACCGCAGGCGATTTTCAAATAAATGAAGCATTGAAACATTTGCCAAGGATCCAACTTTTGCAAATGGCACTTACTATTTTTGTTGACACCATGTGAAAAAAATCTTCAATTTCGTCCAGCACATAAGATGTTTACGAACATTATTCATAATTGTCGACGAAGTAGGATCAAAAAACCTATCAAATCCCATTACTATTTCATAATGTACCCTATTATATCCCATTACTGTTTCATAATGTATTCAACAAACAATTTCCGAAAATCTGAACATATTTTGATGATGCCGGCAACGTTGTACTGACACTCACAGATAATCGTATTTTTTTAACTCTGTGTGAATGTGGCATTTCACAAAGTACTTGATAGGAATGGTGGAGGAGCTATGTTTATTTTTTTCTTGTATAGTTATCTAAAGTGAAATTTGATCTTACGAAGAAAAGAAAAAATATACGTATACAGTGTGTGTCCAAGATAAGGATGTCTATCATGAGGATCTCGGAACGATCAAGAGATACAGTCGTATTCAATAAAATAGCGTACAACTATTAAAAGAGAGGATTTCGGGATTTTCGGAAAAGCTACCACGTGTAATAGAGGTCAAAATAAGTTGATTGAACCCAATAAACTGTTGTACCGTTTGTCGCTGACAAGAGTTCTGAGTTTACATAAAAAAACAGGTGCATTCAAATTTTTTACGTCGAATTGTATAGAAAACGTTCTGCCTTTGTTTCCACTGTCAATTAAATCCTGTATCACAATGTTATTAAACTTGTACTGGGAATATCTATTATAGCATTATGAAATATAACATTTTTTTTCTCCGGAAATATGGTTAGTACGAAGTTTTGACAAGAGTAAAACAATGAAGATAATTAATCTGTCTTCTTGTTAGAAAAATTGAGAACCGTATTACCATCCTCATAAGAATGTTCTGAAGGAAATGTTGAGTGTTAAGGGTTTCAATCCTTCTACAATTTCTTTTGGTTTCCTTTGATTACTAAAAGGAGAGTTATCCTCTAAAATGCAATTTCGTCAAATTTCATTGAATTTGTTTCACTCATATCTGAACAAGAACTTCGAACTCTTTACACGGACAAACAGTACATTTGGGTATACTACATTGTATCGTTTGTGAAGTTTTTACATAAATTGTATCCAATTAACTTATTTTGACCTCTATTATTTGTGGTAGCTCTGTGTTCCATCAATTTTGAGATACCCATTATACAGGGTGTTTCAAAAAAACCTGACCCGCTTACTAGGGTAGGTAGAACACTGCAAAATAAGTTGGGTTTACTCAATAAAAAAATTTCGTAACGGCATCTGTTATCAAGATACAAGGTGTTGAAAAAATGATTTTTTTACACATTCTTCAAGATTATGTCGAAACTACTGGCAACATTGTGATGACATTTTGTATGGATGTATCTTGGAATCCGACACATCGCATGCATTTGTCTTTATATCTGACTCTCATAGAGGGCGCTAGTTACACGGTTCGTACCGAGTAGTTTTGAACAAAACTTTTTTGAGGTTAGATTTTTCAATCCAAATTTGATGTGAACTTGAACATCATTCAATTTCACACCAAAAAGGTACTCTTGGTAAAACTCGATACTGTGTTCCGTTCTCGGAATATTTCGATTTGAAAATGATGAAGTGATAACTGTTGCTGGTATAAAGCTATGCATTAGAGTGAATATTATGAAAAATTATCACCTATTTATTGGAAACCAAAAACAACAATACGTTTCTGATGCTAAACTTATTGATTTAACAATGAATCACAAGAATAACATCGAAACAGATTTGACTAAGAACATGGATTACACAGTTTTGTAATATCTTGAGCAGAAAATCTATGCTACATAGGTAAATCCACGTCAAGAGTTGTAAGACATAATTGAATATCACTTAAATGACCTAACAGCTGATCCTCAACTGTTTAGAAGAATTATACATTCTCAAGAAAAGAATATAGAATCGTGTATTGGTCGAAACGTAGGACATTTTGAACACTTACTCTAACTGATTCAATATTTCATGTTTCTAGTCAAATATCTCTTGATTTTCTAATTATGATTCTTTGTTCCATCAATAACTTCAGCACAAGAATAATTTTATTGTTCTTGAATCTGAATAAATGGGTAATTGAACTCAATAAAATTAATTTTATGCCAGCATCATAACTACTCCATTATTTTCAAATCGAAATATTCCGAAAACGGAACATAGTATCGAGTTTCACCAAGAGTACCTTTTTGGTGTAAAATTGGATTACGTTCAAGTTCATATCATATTTGTATTGAAGAATCTAACCTCAAAAAAGTTATGTTCAAAACTACTCGGTACGAACCGAGTAACTAGCGCCCTCTATGCGAGTCAGATATAAAAACAAATTCATGCGATGTGTCAGATTTCAAGAAACATCCATACAAAATTTCATCACAATGTTTCCAGTAGTTTCGACATAATCTTGAAAAATGTGTAAAAAAATCATTTTTTCAACACCTTGTATCATGAAAACGGAGGCCGTTAAGACATTTTTTCACTGAGCAAACCCAACTTATTTTGCAGTGTTCTACCTACCCTAGCAAGGGGGTCAGGTTTTTTTGAAACACCCTGTATATTTTCAAATAACGTTTGGAAAATAAAAACGAAATCGATAAATTTCGTTTTTTTAGGCATATCTCCGGAACTACTGGAAATTTTGAAACATTCTAAACCGCACATATTAGGCTTGAAAATGCGCAACTTCTCTCTAATTCAACCAGCTTCTCATCTATATGGTTTCTAAACGTGACAGATATGAAGATCTCGATCTTGGAAACCTCCCTTTTTTCATCGGTCACCGTGGCCGCCCTTGCCACGCAGCCGCCCTTCGACGCGCCTACGCCATCCTAACACTCATCATTAACCTCACCTGACAACCCCTTTATGATCTATTCGTGTCTAGAAGATGTTTTCTTCCTCCCATGCATACCAAGCTAATAAAATGATAGTAAAAAGAGCTCCAATATCACCGGCTTGTTCTTCCAGGTCCCCGCCGCCGTCCAGGAGCTCGTCAAGGACCACGAGCTGCCCGCGAAGAAGCAGAAGCTCGCGGGCGACTTCCCGGGGGCGGCCGCCGTGGCCGCCCTCGCCCCGCAGCCGCCCTTCGGCGCGCCACACCTCCAGCAAATCTACGCCAACTTGGACCCCGTGTACATCCAGCAGTGCCTGCGGGAGTTCGACGTGGGCAGGCGGCACTTGTCGGCGTTCAAGCCGGTCGTGCAGAGCATCAGGGAGGCGAAGATCAGGCACGCGGCGGCTATGGGCAGGTGGGTCTGAGGCATAGAAAACCCCTCTCAAATATGATCTAAGTCCACTCATGTGAAGTTGGCGCCGACTTTTTTGAAAAACTGATTTTTTATCGGAGTTCTGGGTAGATACGATAGAGTTCTGGAGTTCCTGACAGAAAAATTCAATAGTTCTGGTTAATTGAAGAAAATAACCGAAAAACAAAATTGTGGGTGCTAACTTTACGCCGCGCCGCTTTTTTCACAGAAAAGAGTTCTGATGAGAAATGTCGACGTATTTTAAAGAGTTCTGGGGTTCCTGATATATTTCAACGATAGTTCCGACGAACTAACAAAGTTATTCCTATTTTTAAAAGGGACATTCATACGCTCATGTAGCATACACCACTTTCTAAAGTTCGGATCGGAGTTCTGTGTAGCTCCAGTCGAGTTCCACATACTATCTAGGTAACTTTTTTTGTCTAAAATCGAAACTAGTTTTCATGAGCGAAAACAAGGGACCGACTGAAAAAAAAAGTTTAGTGAAAGATTTGGAAAGGAGAGACAATAGTGGAGTTCTGATCGGAGTTCTGGGTAGCACCAGTCGAGTTCTAGATACTATCTTGATAACTTTTTTCTCTGAAATCAAAACTTTAGTTCTTATAAGCGAGAAAGAGGGACCGATTGAAAAAAATATGTTTTGTGAACGATTTGGAAAGGAGAGACAATAGAGGAGTTCTGATCGGAGTTCTGGGTAGCACCAGTCGAGTTATCTTTACTATCTAGATAACTTTTCTCTTTAAAATCGAAACTTTAGTTTTTATAAGCGGAAACGAGGGACCGATTGAAGAAAATATGTTTTGTGGACGATTTGGAAAGGAGAAAAAATAGAGAAGTTCTGATCGGAGTTCTGGGTAGCACCAGTCGAGTTCTCTTTACTATCTAGATAACTTTTTTCTCTAAAATCGAAACTTTAGTTTCAATAAGCGGAAACGAGGGACCGATTAAAAAAAATATGTTTTGTGAACGATTTGGAAAGGAGAGACAATAGAGGATTTCTGATCGGAGTTCTGGGTAGCACCAGTCGAGTTCTCTTTACTATCTTGATAACTTCTTCATGTAAAATTGAAACTTGAGTTTTCATAACCGGAAACGAGGGACCGATTGAAAAAAATATGTTTTGTGAACGATTTGGAAAGGAGAGACAATAGAGGAGTTCTGATCTGAGTTTTGGGTAGCACCAGTCGAGTTCTCTTTACTATCTTGATAACTTTTTTATCTAAAATTGAAACGATGGTGGATGTTATATAAGCGCATGAATGTCCCTATTAAAAATAGGAATAACTTCGTTATTTCGCCGGAACTATCGTTGAAATATATCAGGAACTCCAGAACTCTTTCAAAAACGTCGAAATTTCTGATCAGAACCGTTTTCTGAGAAAAAAGGGGCGCCGCGTGAAGTTAGCACCCACAATTTTGTTTTTCGGTTATTCTCTACAATTAACCAGAACTATTGAAATATTTTGTCAGGAACTCCAGAACTCCATCATATCTACCCAGAACTGCGATAAAAATTCAGTTTTTCAAAAAAGTCGGTGCCAACTTCACATAAGTTCTAAGTCCACAACAACGACATCAGCGCCATCATGAGGCCTTCGCCATCACTCATGGTCTAGAACAACTAAACTGGTCAACATTGATAACGTCCTGGTCCAAAATATAGTCAGAATTCAAAATAGAATAACTCACGAATTGCCTTACCAATTTGAAATCGGTTTTCACCGATGATTAGCCTGATCTCTTGACAGTTTGTTGTGGCAATATGAAACTTCTGTAATTCCAGATAACATTGATCCAGGGTGATAATTGAATGGGTGTAAAATTGCATCGTGGTCGTCACCTTACCGTTTGAACAGATAGATTTTTTTATTATTTTTCTCACCTGTATCCTCTTGATTGATGCTTTTTCTCGAAACATTTTCGGAATTTTCAAATTCAGAGGTTTGATAATCGTGTTAAGAATATTCATTCAAAATGATGCATTTTTTCGACGATTAATTGAATGAAATTGGAAGTTGGAATTCTTCTTCGAAGAATCAACGTTGTATGTATAGTCGTCGGATATGTGATTGTGTTCGAACACAGAAAATTCTGAAGAAGTCTATACAAAGTGATAGAAGAAATACTAAATGATGGAATGGAGGAACGATTTTGGCGAGGATTTCGGTATAATACTCTTAACCCATTCCCTCCACGGATATTTTTTCCTTATATTTATAGGTATTTCCTGATAATTACCCCTTCCTAGTAGCACAAGACCTGGGAAAAATATTCAGAAAAAATATTTCTGGCAGGGTTTTGAACAAAATTGGTGTACTCAAATGAGTACGATGGGAGGGTGGGTGCATAGGAAAAATCTCAAAATTTTTATTGCTACAAAAAAGTGTTTAATATTTTAAAATTGCATCACAATCCAGTTGAGTATTGTCAGAGAAGTGAATGTACCTCTTGATTTCTTGAAATTCATTTCTAGACATACTGGAAGCAACGAATGGTACCGAAACTTCACCGTCAACGCTTCGGTACATGGGTTCTCGGGGGTAATTGCCAGCAAGCAGCAGAATTTTTATCCTGATTTTTATATCGACCTCGGTTACCACAAAACTATGAATATTTTTTTATGAGGCAAGGGTTTGATTGCTCAACGTTTTCATCCGAGTTTCATCAAACAATCTCTCCAAGGCCTGAACTACACTATCGTTCTTTACATCCACTACCATTTTTTGTAATCTCTCCTCAACCCTTCGTTCTGCCTGTCATACTTATTACTGATATCCATGTAATTCCTTGTCCATTTGGAGTTCTCCTCCAATTTTCTACTTCCTTAATTCATTTTTTGAAGTTTTGTGTTTCTTGAGAAAAAGTATACTGAAAACGCCACGTTGTCATTGGGGTTGTGGCTATTGTCGATATCCATGACTCCTTGACTTCCAGCAGCTACTTCAGATGAAGGAATTCCATCATCTGAGGAACCCGGAATTTCAACTTCTCAAGGAATATCAATGGAGGAGTTAGATATACCTGAGGATATACCAATATCGTTTTCGTCAAATTCGTTCCATCTCGTTGAGTGTCTACCTCAGATAGAATAATAATTATTTCAGGCTCACGGTTTGAAGAAAGAACGTCATCTATTCCTTCTTCTAATGTTTTTGTTTTGACACGTTTGCCATAGATGCATTTCGAAGAAATTGGCAAAAAATTATTATTTTTTGCGAACCCAGTTCTGAAATGAAATTCCCAAATTTATCACACATATCTTCCCATTGTACCCAAATGAGTACACCATTGTTTTTGTTTCGGTTATGTGAGGAATGATGAAAAATTAAGTGTCAGGATAGTATAAGCAACTGAAATACATACCTGGTTTCTTGTATACATATTGCAGAATACTACCACGACATTATTTTGTTGAAAATTTTCAATAGATGTAGATAGTAGACCATAATTTGCAGTGTACTCAAATGAGTACAGTGGGAAGTAATGGGTTAATTTCAATGAACCTCAAATTCCAGGTTCCCCACCGACCCGCCGGTCCTCCAGAACCCTGAGCGCGTCGTGCTGATGTCCGACAGCGAGCACTTCGAGCGCAGCTATCAGCCCAACGTCGCACTGGCCCCGCCCACGCCCAAACAGCCCAGGTACGCCCAGGGCCGCAGCCCCGACTCCACCGTGGTCAAGACGGAAGCCCCGTCGCCCGTCAAAGAGGTGACGTCGACGCAAACCGTCGACATCGTCAGGTCGGACCCGATCGAGAATATGGCCAGGTTTGTTTCCTTACAAGTGAATAAAGAACATGAAACGTGTAGAGTTGATTCTGAGCCGTTGAGCATAAAAAAGGAGCACCACAGGGTTCTGTATTGGGTCCCGTTCTGTTCATTTTATATGTTAATAAAGATTAAAGGGTTTCTTTAAATGATCGTAACATCGTAGAAGCCGTTGAAATATTTTCTCCATTTGCCGCCTTTCATTTATGGAGATTCACACATTCGAATTTAATTTCTGACATCAATCATTATACTGTCATAGCTGATAAACTCACAATTTTTCGTTAAAATTTTCAAACGATTCTGTTTTCTACTTCGTAATTGTCGTGTTGAAAAGAGGGATGGCTTATTCCTCGGAGCAGAATACATTCATTGTAATGTCTTATTGTCAAAATGGCACATTGATCAATGGTGGATGGAGTTACTCGATAGTAGCCTGCAAGGATGAGTTCCTGGCGAAATATCCTAATGTACTGATTCAAGAATCTTCTTTGAAAGCCCTCATCAGAACAGTGATCAACAGATTCTCCCAAACTGGAAACGTTAAAAAAAAAAGAAATCAACAGAAAGGCCCCAAATATCGGAAGAAGTTGTCGAAAATCTAAGGGCGCGTGTTGAGCAAAATCAACAAAACGTCATTGAAGAGACTATCTTTACAATCTGGTGTGCCACTAAGTACATGCCATAAAGTGCTCAAGAAAAGATTGCATATGCACCCTTACGAGACAAGTGTTCTACAGCAACTTCTGCCAATAGATATCTCACGTCGTCTGGGGTACTGCCAATGGTTCCGAAATAATCTCAACGATGACCAGCTATTGGACCTAACATTTTTCAGCGATGAGGCTTGGTTTCATTTGTCGGGATACGTGAACTCACAAAATTGTAGGTTTTGGAGATCTGAGAATCCTCACGATTTCATTGAGATTCCAGTACATTCTCAAAAAATTGGGGTGTGGTTAGCAGTTTCTCGTAGGCGAATATATGGACCGATTTTCTTCAATGGCACTATCAGTGGTGAAAGGTACAGACAAGTGATGTAAGAACAATTCATCGATCAACTTGATGATGAAGAAATTCGAGTTAGCTATTTTCAGCAGGATGGGGCCACTGCCCATACCACACGTGCAAATTTTGAATATTTACAAGAATTTTATGACAACCGTGTGATAAGTCGAGGAGTTGATCCTTCTTTTCCAACACATTCTCCAGATTTGACGCCTTTGGATTTCTGCCTTTTTGGATATTTGAAAGACGAAGTATTCAAGAAAGAAGATAATAACCTTGAAGAGCTGCAAGCCTCAATAACACATTGCTGCCAAAATATTGGCCCGGAAATGCTGAGGAACATTTTCGACAACAAACGGCGAAGAGTTTTGAAATGCTTGGAGAACAACGGAGATCATTTTGAACATTTGATGTAGGTTAATGAAGTAAACCGTTATTTATTACTTCTTCAATAAATATTTTTGATTTGTTCCATTATTTTTCAAACTCCAATATTGGACTCTCCTTTCTTTGAGATACATTTCCATAGTGTATGCAAATCGATATAAAAAAAAGATCCTGTATGTTTTTAACAGCATTAGTAGAAAGCGACAAATGGAAAAAAATGTCAACAGCCACTACGATGTTACGATCATTTATAGAGACCCTGTAGTATAGACAGTGTTATAACAGATAGTCAATATACTGCATACGCCGATGATTTTTCATTTGTAATCTCTGCGCGTGATTCCAAAATATTAGAAAATAAATGTGCTGGCCCAGTAAACCATGATTTATTTTTTAATGTCGACAAAACAGAGATTGTTGGTATTTACAATATTCAAAACAAAATAGAGTGTGAGATTCTTGGGTATTTTTCTAGATGAGTTCCTCAACTGGAAGGCTCATTGTCAGCAATTAACTTCTCAACTCTCAACTCTCTGAAGTTCCTTTTCATCAATTTTCGATCAGTTTTCAGTAAGGATCAATTACTCAACATATATTTTGCTCAAATAGAATCTAGATTGAGGTATTATGTCAGTTTCTGGGGTGGATCAACTGCTACAATGGAAGTGTTCATTGCCCAGAAGCGAATAATACTGTGCATAGCAAATGTTTCAGCTAGATAATCATGTAGAAGTCTCTTCAAGGAATATAAAGTTTTGACATTGACATATCTTTATATCTTTGAATTATGTGTATATGTTTTCAAAATTAAATTAACTTTTACAATGAATCAGAATCTACATAACCATAACACAAGAATTAAGAATCACTTTCATTTGTCGTTAGCAAGGTGTAAAGTGAGTTCATCTGCCCTGGACTGCATTGGACCTAAAATATTTAATGAACTTCCTGAAGATTTGAGATCTGTGAAACACATCATTATGTTCCTATTTATTGGAAGCATGTTTTTATACAATGTCAGAATTTTTAGAATAAGATTAGTTTTAGGTATCACCGATTCTATTCTTTTACTATTTCTTCTTCTCTATCTAACTCTTTCTTTATTTTCTTCTACTGATTCATATTATATTGACAATTCCCTTACAATGTTATCTGTCGAAGTGGAAATAAAGTATTATTAATATTATTATTATTATAGCGATACGACGGTTTCGGTGGTGCTGAAGAGGCCCAGGTACAACCCGGAGATTGAGCTGTCGACCGACACCGAGGACAGCGCTTCCGAGACGTCGGAGAAGCAGCTGGAGCTCGGCAAGGTTGGGGAGGTATGTAGAGCCGTTACCCCCGATTTACCCCCGATACTAACAAGGCCTGCAGGCTCCGTGGTGACGTCACCTTAGAGAGGCCTAACGGCGGCTTGAAACGACAAGCGCTTATGGCGCTATAAGGCGACCGCGTATTTCAATTTTAGTTTTAGATCATTATTGATTTGCTGTTTTCTTGAAGGGCTTCCGGTTTAAAGAGGATGCCAGTCGTTAACTAGACCCTTCTTCGCATCCCATTCGATTTTATTAAGGGAAAACGAAGTTTCAAAGCAAAAACCAGAATAAAACACAAATATCCACCTACAGCAACCCATTCGAATTAAATATATTGGCAAAAATTGTAGTGATTTAATCTCATTAGAGGTAAACTTCACACCTACTTATACAGGGCCCGCAGAACATAAACTTATTATGAGATTGATCGAAAGAAAATTGTGGAAAATGTATTTTATTTTGATAGACATGCCGTTTGTTATAATTACCTATATTTATCTTGGAGAATTCCTATTACCTACAAAATTAGCTAGTGAGTGTTTTCAATCTTCTGTTGTTAGATTTTCATCCAATTGATCGTTAGACTTGATACAGTAATTTTTAAGTAGAATGTTTGTAGTACATGTTAATATGGTAGTCGCAATTTGATCATTGGAATGAATTCTGCATTCATTGCCACGAGATATATGACCGTTTTCAGACAGAAATTTGAGAATGTATTGAGTTAAAAATGCCCGTTTATTATGAACAATCAAGAAAACTTCGAAAACTAACTGCACAATCAAAGCTTGCGAATAGAGTAATTTTCCTCTACTCATACTTTTTATGAGAGAGTAATTGTCTCCTATTATTAATTCATCATTATAAACTGAGTTCTGTTTACAAAATTCGCACTGAATTTTTCTAAGTATAATATAGCAACAATAACCTGCTAAATAGGTCATTACCGGTATGTCATCACTATATTTATCAGATTCCTCGACTATGATATCTGGACTGAAAGAAGGATTTTCTTGGATTTCTTCGGTGAAATCAATATTTTGGAGGTCGATATCAAGTTGGTATGTACATATATATAAGTCTTTCTTTCAAAATATGTTCGAAATGAATTTCATTATCTGCAAGTTTTTCGTTTCTTGTTGGTTCTAAATTGGAATAAGGTTCTTTTCGATACTCGCTCAGTTTATAAATTGTGGGTTCGGCTCTTTCTCTCAATACGATCCTATTCTTCAACATCAAAAAATGCGTTGGAAAATGTTCTATATCCTACCAAGAAATTTGATTACCTCGCAAATTTTGTGGCCTGAACCTATATTCCATATTACCGGTCGCATCATATTCTGTTTCCATTTTTGTAGAAATACGTTACCTATTGGATGGAAATTCGAATAGAGTGAATTGATTTCCCGTGTTCTCACAGTTGTAAACTGCACAAACTTGCATCTTTCTCCTAATTCTCTCAGTTTGTCAAACCTTTGAAATTTATGTCATGTACGTCCGTGTACTGTCAGTTTCCGCTTTTTCCATAAATTTAATTGTGGTTATGTCTGATTGTCAGTGCTTGTCATAGTGTCCATACTCTAATATACAAAAAACGTCAACACAGCAGTGTCAAGTACAGAGTCGTTTGTTCGACAAATTATAGTCCTCCCATTGGTCCGGCTATAAACGTTTTGTCTAGTTATTTATAGGGTCCTTTGATGGAAATTGACGTTAAAGTCATGTTAAGATGACTTCAACGTCAATTTCCATCAAGGGACCCTAGTTATTTAAAATACCACTTTACCACCGGTGTATAATGTACTGAAGTTGAATCCCCGCGTTTATTGCAGGTGCTCAAGGGCGTTGAAGGAAACGTCAGGGAGAGGATCTTGGAGATGATGCGGAGCTTGACCAAGGAGAACGAGCGATTGGTCCTGGAGAGCCGCGGCAAGGATGACAGGATCAGCGAGCTGGAGATCAGGAACGCTCAGCTCCTGAACGAGCTCAATTCGATAAAGTGCAACGGCGTCCGCGAGAAGAAGACAATAGAGAACGGTAAAACGTTGAACGGCTCGATGATTGCTGTTTGTTGCGAAAAGAAATCCAACGAATTGAAGAAAAGCGTCATAGCTACCATCGGGGAGCAGCAAGAGGCGATCAAAAAGACTGCGCCGGAATGATCCGTTATCGTTTCTCGACAGGTTTGTTCTCAATTGGCATTTTCGGAAACTTGCTCCAAGTCACCAGCCCGATCCAAATAAATCACGTGACAGATCACCTACCCAGATAAATAGTTCTCGACATATTAGGTTACGGACCTTGGCGTGCCATGAGTCTAGATCTTTTGCTGGGTCACCCAGGGTTGGATCCGAAAACACTGAAAGCAGACTCGTCTTGGTTTAGGAGAGTATACATTGATTTCACCAGAAGATAACATCAATTGTAATCTTTGGTAGAAGTCCATGGTTTCTCAAAGTGAAGTGAAGTAACTACTAATAATACTCGGAGTGATCTCCACGACATTTTGATATGATCCAACAGATCAAATTACTTGGTACACGTTTCGGACATTTATATGTCCATTAGCCTTATCAATTATCACTTCATATCGTGGGAATGAGAAAAGTTGAGTTACATCTTATCCTAAGGAAGTTTTTGGACTTCCCTCTTGGATTAACATGAAACCGATCTTTGTTTCACCTCATAGGGATAAGATGTAACGTGAATCTTTTCATTCTTAGGATATGTAGTAATAATTCATAAGGCTGAGGATGGACATATATATATCCAAAACATGTACCAAGTAATTTGATCTGTTGGATCATATTTAAAATTGAAATGTCGTGGAGGTGACTTGGAGTATTATAAGTATTTAACATCAATTGTAATTTCTTCTACTTCATCTCTTCATTCACTATCATCAAAACTGTTCTCGAAGGTTAATGGTGTTATTGTTTGGAAGATTGCAATTTTCCTTTCATTCATGACATTTATTTAGCGCGAACAAGCCCCAAAATGAAACCAAAATAAAATAAGGAAATTTGGTAATGTCCATGCGATGCCTTTGTTGACTCTAATGGCCCTGCTCTTGAGAAGGGATACTATAGGAAAACCCAAGGGAAAACAACCTGAATAAGTGATCCAGTAGGCAATACTGAAGTTTACAAACATGGGTATGCAACTCGGGTTATGTGAACGAACGTGCAGGTTGAGGATCGAGTGAACCAGAGTAGGTTTCCGAAAAGGCCAAATGTTTTTACACTTGGCACCGAGCAAAAATTGTGTATCTAGGACTGATCATTGCTTTTACAGAAAAAAAAACGGTTTGAAGATTGATAGATAATTTCATGTTGTTCAGTAATAACATAGATACACTTTCATCTCAACTGAAAGAAATGTTGTCTCATCAGATTAGATATTTCCTTTGTTGGTACTCAAGAAGGCCATTTTCTGCTGAGACATTTTTCAATAGGATTTCATTGTCGTAATTTTTTGGAACAAGGAGACCTTTTTTTCTGATATTGTGATACGATATTTTTGGACATTTGGACCTGAATTTTTGAATTCTGTCGTTGCGTAAAAGACGTCAATTAATCGACTATCTCCGAACTGATGTAAATGTTTGCTCTATGTAGCGTTTTTCGGATATGTATGTAAATATTGTAAAGAGACCCGAGATTGTCGTACTAGACCTTAGTCATAGTATTTTTTAATAACTAGAAGTTTATTTTGGAATTTTGCTTCTGTACATTTTGCCACATAGAAATTGTATGTTTTTCGAAAACATAGTTTGTTAAGATTTTTTCTCTAAATTGTTATGATTGTTTTAATTTATGATATTAAGAAATTGTTACTGAGTAATATTTTTTATGACTTAAAAGTACAAAGTGTGGTGCAAAGCACCTGCATAATATAATATTCATATTTATAGGTATATATGGGGTGTTTCATCAATTGCATAAGGTACAATTTCAAAAGATTTGAATGGTCAGTCATATCTCAAGTACTATATATATATATTATATTTATTGTCTTTTTCTGTGTTTTGACAGAATTGTTCATTTTACTGTATACAGAAATGAAACACCCTGTGTAGAAAATGATAGGGACTTCTTTTGATGAAACTCTAAATGTGATGTGTGAACGATTGAAAAACTGCCCTTCATATGATATGTTTTGATATACCACTAGCATGAACAAAGTGAATCATATTCCACTTAATACGGTAATAAAACGAAAATAAAACATGCATGAATTTGCCTTATCAGAATGATTCCTTCAGAAAAATCGAAAATGGGTAATATCAATTAAAACGAAAAAATTGTGGGATAAATACAAATAATTGATTCTCATTTGATGGAACTGTAGAACAACACTTATTGAATGAACATAAATTTCCATAGAAAGGAGAACAAAAAAAAAACACTGAAAAAACTGAACATTTCAGCTCAAAAATCGTCTGATTCCTTGATTGAATTAGTTTCTGATATTATATTTGTTAATTTCCCTAACTTTTTGTGATTATCTTGTCATCTCTATAAATAAAAATATTAGAACTATATCAATATGGGTACTTTCAGTGTAAAGACAAATCGGATGATTAGAAACCTGAAAGAGAAATATTTGATGCAAAAGAATACAGGTACATTGAAAAATACAAAATTTCACTGATCTTTGAACGTTTCCGGAAAGCTTCTACTCTTGTTTTCACAAATGGAAAAATTATTCTTCGCAAATTTTCTTCAGTTTCCTCTATTGAGACTTCTCAGAGACAGAGGTTAATGAAAGAGTGAGTTACAGGATGTTTTGATTGTATTAACCCCACTCTGAATTGATAATGGAACTGACATAGCAGTCAGTAATTTACGTCTGGAGATCAAGATGGTCACAAATTTATCACCAATAAAAGCGCTTTGTGGTGCGGCATTGGTTGCTATCAATAAAATTCTGTTTTGAATCCGATTCAATAACCTAGACTCTCGTCTGTCAATATTATCAATTCTGTATGCACAATAATCGAAATTCAATTTTGGTTCGATATTAGGTTACTTACTTCATCGCACACGTTATGAGAATTTCTTGAAATATTTTCAGTTAACCCTTTGCGTCCTACTGGTCATGCCAGATAACCACATAACAAATAATTCATCGGCGCTCTACTAGTGGTTCTCTAGCATAACCACCGTTTATACACGATACTAATACAGCCACCTATGAACTGAATTGATAACTGCGGCATTGTTTCAACTTACTAACGATGGCGTCAGTAGCTTTCGGCATCTGATGAGTATACGTAGTCCTACTGGTCACTTGCGGCAACCACCTGGTCACTTGGGGTAACCACTTTTTTTGAAACAAAAAATGGACGATTCAGATTTTTTCTTATATTCCTCATTGTTTTTATGATGTTTCTGGTCATATGAAATATTTTCAGAAAATAAAATCTCAAAAAACACTAATTCCGGACTCAAAGGGTTAATATGAATTTTCATCCAGTAAAGGCAGCCTCAATGGGGAAAATCATCTCAAATGTAAAAACTTCACAAACGATAAGATTTCCACAATATTCTCAATCACGTGACGAGGCTACTGTGTTAGTGAAACATGTCGTGTGTTTGACAATTTTGAGGAAATCTCATCGTTTGTGAAGTTTTTCATTTGCCATGAATTTCCATCAAGCAACGGCCGATTCATTTCAAAGTTTGAAGGAAATTATCTCACTAATTAGAATATATGCTTACAATACAATCGATTATTTCTTGACGATTCCGAAAGCCAATAGAAACTTTCAATTCCAGTAACTAATTCATATACAGTGTCATTCATAAAGTCGGCATCATATGGGAAAAACTTTTATTAATGACTTATTTTGAAATTCGAGTTGGACGTTAAGTTTTGCTTCAAACAAGATGAAAAATGGCCTACTCAATCGGGGTCACGTGACTTTCGCTACATGTCAAAAGTGACATTTTTTCAAATTAATCGCAGAAAGTAGGCTTATTTGTTCTAATATCGAAAAAGTTTACTTGAAAAAGTTGTTTCTATTCAAAGTTTACATATGTGACTCGGATTTTATCTTTCCATTACATTTTGTAGATTTCGATATTTTTTAAAAATTTTCGAATTTTCTGTAATATTAAAAAAATTGTAAATTCGATAAAACTACTTCATACCAGTAGCTTCATCATGCTACTAATTATCACTGATTATCGACAAACATATGATTTTCTTCAGAAAATGATAATCTCCGCTCCAAAATTCTGTTATGTTTGATGCAAACATAACATCAAAATTATGTTATGTTTGAGTCAAGCATTTAGAAACGAAATTCATTTAAATTTATTTTTCCAGTACTGAAAGGATCAGTTTAAATGAATTTCGTTTCTGAATGCTTGACGATATATCAACTTTGCATCAAACCATATCAAACATAACAGAATTTCGAAGCGGGTATTATCATTTTCTGAAGAAAATCATATTTCTGTCCATAATCAGTGATAATAAGTAATTGAAAGTAACTAGCATGAAAAAGCTACTGGTATGAAGTAGTTTCGTGGAATTAACAATTCTTCAAATATTACAGAAATTTCGAAAAATTAAAAAAAAAATCTAAATCTAAAAATTCGAGAAGCATGTGTAAAATTGAAATAGAAACAACTTTTTCAAATAAACTTTTTCGATATTCGAACAAATAAGCCTACTTTCAGCGATTAATTTGAAAAAATGTCACTTTTGACATGTAGCGAAAGTCACGTGACCCCGATTGAGTAGGCCATTTCTCATCTTTTTTGAAGCAAAACTTAACGTCCAACTCGAATTCCAAAGAAAGTCATTAATAAAAGTTTTTCCCATATGATGCCGACTTTATGAATGACACTGTATATCTCAGCCAACCAAAGTATTATTATTTTGAGAATAATCTACTTACAGAACTACCGCGAGGATAATAAGTAGTTGTTTTGTTTTTATTGACATATCTGTCACCAATGCGCGTAAAAATATGACAATGACACGAAAAAATAATCTATCTACCATTCCCATGAAGATGTATGGAATTATTTCCAATTGATTCTCACATTTCCATGACATTACTTCAGAAAATTCAGTCAGAAATCTTTCTGCATCAAATTGCTTTGAGGTAACACTCTGCTGGTTATCAAGCAAAAGCAATCTGACACTCTCGAAAGTAGACTTTTCAACGTGTCATTCCATTGTCATTTTATTCTACTAGTGTCATAAGGTGATTCCACTTGATTAATTTTTAGCATTATTTCTGATGTTGATTATTGTTGTTATCATCAACAATAGCGGGAGGACTTTACAAACAGGTCTAATAAAATCCACCTAGGTCTCATGTAAACTGCAATGATTATTATTTTTTTGAAATGAAATCTCTGTATAACTGTGTAAAACTGATATTCTATCGTTCTTGGAATCCTTGAATTATTGTTTTACCCAATTTCGCAATTCCAAATAGAATAAACTGTTGCCCAACAATAGACCAACATATTTTCATTATAATTGCCTGTAACATATTTATTGATTGCAGTATTTGTGTGATATCTTGGGCTCCAGATATATCTTACTGTTATCTCAATTTACTAGGCAACGATTTCAAAGTAGCCATAACAGCAGTACATAGATTAACGACTTGATCTATGAGCATTATCTATATAGCAGCAACTTCATCAATTTTTTACTGGAATTGATTATTTTTCTTATCTACTCGTGTTGGAAGTTCACTTTCATTATTTGCTTCTGTTTCAAACAAACTTGATTCACTTCATGGAATTTGCGAATGCAAAGATACAATTGAAACTTTTTGTGAGTAATTTATTACGTTTTTCGTTTTCTATTTATATACTACTGGACGACACAGCGAGGGTATCAGGCCACCCCTGTAACTTCTGCCGTCGTGAACGAATTTTACTAAAATTTGGTACAGATATGTAAGCAACCATTTCGGATTTGATTACAATCCAATATGGCGGGCGTCCAGTTTTTCTGATAATGCCAGCATCTTTCTTTTTTCAAATGGAACACCCTGCATATTTTTACATATTCTAGTTCAACAGATCAAAACAAGTGCAATAGTCATGACAAATGTCATTTTTTTGAAAAAAGTCAAATCGAATTCGTTTTTTCATACTTCCTCATGGATAAAGGACACGTGGTCAAGGCTGTTCATACATCAATAGGGCTAGTGGATTTCAAGAAAATCACAATTTTCTGCACCAATGCATCAGCACCCTGAAGACGGGTTTTCCTGTATATTTTTGAAACCACTTACAATGAAATATTGAAAAATGGTACACTGCATGAACTTTCAACGCCAGATAAGATTCTGAGCTCAAAATTTCAGAGTTTTCGTCAGAGACATAACATACTGAAGTTATTGGGCGTCAAAACAACCATTTTCTAATGACGATTTATTATCATTTATGTCAAAATTATTCGAGAATCTAATCATTGTATATGGAATCGTCGTTATTGTCATCGCTGGTGGTATTCAAAACGACCATTTCAAGACCCTCTTACTAATTAGTTTCTTCACAATAATTGCATTTTTAACTATGACCAAACTTTTGGATGTCGAACTCAGGTATTAACAGACACAATCAAAAATTATTTGTATATAGCAAGCAAATGCGCAAGACGCATATCACAAATTATATTATTGTGTTAAAAATGCAATAACCAAAATAATAATAATATTATATAAAAGGCCCATCTCCCGTTTAGTGGTGTGAACGGATAAAATAAACCTTACAAATACGTTGTTTAAAAAATGAATTTTTAGCGTGTTCTTGATTTTAAAAATTATTATTTTTGTTAAACATTTTAATTTTATAACATAGATATTTTTATATTTTCTTTTGTTGAAAATAATGTGATAATTTGTATCGTTCATCTCAGTATTTTGAATAAGTTTTCTTAATTTTATTGATGGCAGCTCGTCGGAAACTGAAAAATTGTACAAAGTCGTAATATTTTTTTTTGGAGTATGTTTGTATTGTTAATTTTTTATTTATTTAATGAAATGAAATTCGAAATTGTTCCTAAATTATTAATAAACTTTGAACTGCCATTATTGAATTATTAGCAATACTCTGATGATACAGACATACTTCAGAAAAAATTAAACAAGATTGTTGAATTTGTTATTGAATTATATATTTTGTGATCTCAAAATATGTAAGAATGCTGTTGACTATAGATTCTAAGCTATAGATAAGTTTCGTGTGTGTTACATATGTTTATAGCTATTATTAATATACACAAATTATTTCATAAATATATATTTCTGAATTTTATGTGTCAAACAACAAATAAATGCATTAATTTATACATATCGTTGTTATTGCTGTCTGCCTCATATTGAAAATGATAGATTATTTCAAAATACTCTTTTATTTCATATAATATATAAAATGGGATAAACTTATAAAAATATTAGGGTTACATTTTTCATCAAGGTATAAAACTGTTCACAGTAAGATTCAAATTTCTTATGAGTACACTAAGAACTAACTATCAACAATAGAAGTATACAATTAAAACTTAATAGACAATCACAAACGATTCTTCAAACTAACTTGTAGTTTCAAAATCAGTCCAAATTTGTAAAACATTGCTAAAACCTTATTATTACATAAATTGATGAAACAAATATTTGAGCAAATAAATTTTCAAAAATGATCAACTTTAACAGCTACACTATTGGCTGCATGATTGCTAGGCAGTAAAATATTATCCCAATCCGTTTGAATGTCTTGCTCAGAATCTGTGGCTTTCAGACTAATTCCTAAACTCGGAAGAGTATTGGCGTAATGGGGGATATTGAGAATCACAGGCTTCAAAAATTCGGTACCTAAAAATATTTCATGTATGATGATACACAAACAAACAAAAATGCGAGAGGGAATGATGATGCCGAAATCAAATTTATTTTGCAATCTGAATTTTCATTTTATTTTGCATATAACTTTGATTAGGAATACATCATAATTCTCTTCAGAAGTAGATAATAGGCTTTCCAGAATATTAATAACTCGTATTAGTAATTGGTACATGTTCTCATATTGAGTCCTAAACATGAACTATGAAATCCTTTTCTCTTCTGACATTCCTACTTTTTTCAAAGAAAACAAGGTGATGTCAATTCAGAAAATAGAATGACTTCGAAACTTGTACACAGCATGTAATCTATTTCATCAGTAGGTTAGTCGCGTGGTTGAAACGTCAGTATTCTATTCACGATGGATTGCCGGTTGGTGGGTTTGATTCCCACGACTGCAGAATTCTTCTGATGGCCTAAGAAAGAGGTTGGGTTCACACATTAGAAGGTAAGGCTCACCTCCCCGTCAAAATGATGCTTGTAGAGAATCGCATCAGAGCCTTTGATTCTTAGGTGTTATGGTCAAGATGAAAACAAGGTTCACCCATAGGTTCATTTATACTTTATAGTTAAAAAAAAAAGATTAGCTCAAAAGTTTTCATAAAGGATGTTTTTAATGTGCTAAGCTAATATTATGACATCCTATCCCTAACAACACCAGTACATCCTAGGGACTTCCCAGGGACGTCCCTTATTTCATACTAGGACATCCCAGAGATGTCCTTTGTCGGGACAACGTACATACTAGGGATGTCCCAGGGACATCCGCTGGCCGCCAAAAAAGGCATCCAAGGGATGTCCTTCTGGTACGTCCCTGGGATGTACCAAGTACGAAGAAAGGATATTCCTAGGACGTCCCATGGATATCCCAGGGACATGCCCATGCCTCCTGAAGATTTATGTACTAAACATATTCATAAATTAACAGGACTCAACTACAGAAACCTGAATAAATACAACTTTGTTAGGATTTGGGTATAATTATTATCATTCTTGGGTGTTTAAAAATGAGGGGCATTATGCATGTACGATTTCTGTTCGCGAAAAATGGTCATTTCTTAGGAAGTTCTGAGACTCTATTCTTTATTTCCATTACAATTATTTTCCGGAAGAAAAACGAACATTTTCAAAAAAATTCAACTCAATAGTTTGCTGAAATTTAATGACTGATGTGAATGGATATCAGATATTCCAGGAACACGAATAGGATAACCTAGGGATGTACCGGGCGGGATGTCCACTGGACAACCACTGCGGGACATCCCCTGGATGCCCCAATCATGTCCTTGTACCGCGGAACAAAAAAGGGACGTACCTATAGGACATCTCTGTGTTGTTAGGGTTGACATGATGAATTGAAAAAAAAAATCAAAACGATGTTTTACTTCGACAAGAAAATCATGAAGCCTTTCAGTAAAACCCTTTGCTATCATCCATTTCCCCAACAGAATGAATGCCAAGCTCGAATGGAATTGGATTGAATCCCTCTAGTGCCTTGATGCTATCAACAGACACCAAGGGCTGGAGTTCAACAAGAAAGCCGACATCCTCGCCAATTTTGAGAGAACTGCTAAAACGGGACACTGACCTCGAAGATACCACCTGGGAAGAATTGATCTAAGTCAACAAACTGCTGTGTGGAAGACGAAACGGCTGAACACATATTAGTTTCAAGCTCTTGCTTAGAGAGCTTCAACATATACCTTGTTCCACCAATTCAGAACCTACCAATTTCAGGAAAATTCCACCTCACCTTGTAAAAAGAAGTGGATTGTACAGTGACCTGTAACCTCTAGAGAGACCCATCTCCAAGCCCCACTCGCATGAAACCTAACATAACCTACATATTTCATGATTTCAATTCATCAGTCATCCTGTTAATATTTTGTGAACTATCTTGACATATATGTATAATAAGCAATAATTACCTTGCGGTCCACACATTACTAATGGCGAGAGCATGGTTTCACCTGTGAAAAAAAGAAAAACATATATATCATCCATTTGTCAAGGAAGAATGTACACTGGTTCCAAAACAAGTTCAAACAACAATCATCTACATTAGAATACCCTACATCAACCTATTATTATTTTCAAAAAAATATACAGAACATGCCAAACAAACACATATCCAATCAATGATTTACCGTTATCGAGATCTAATGGAGGGGCATTTTCGCACAATCTCGGATCAGAAATAACGAAATAAATGTGCCTCTCTTCTCGCTTGGGTATGGCCCCATAAGGTATCTCTAGAGACACGCCCCAATACTGGTTGACTAGTGTCGCCCCCTTGTGCGTTACTGTAGCTGCCGTTATGTCTCTCTCCTGAGCTCCCTGCATACCGTGCGCATTTCTGTTGATGTCTCTCAGCACACTGTTCTCGTTTATTTCCGGTTGGAGGGACAGTTTCTTGTTCATTTTCGGTGTGCTTTCTCTGTTCTTTCTCGTGAAAGACAGTTTCCGGAACAGTTTCGGAGTGAAGCCTTCGCTCTTCTGGTGTTTGAACGATTGGGTTTTTGTTAGTTTGGGAGTTATTTTGGGCGAGTTAGTAGCGGATGACGTGTTTAGTTTTTGAGCTAGGTTAGGCTGTGATCCGTAAAAAGCCGGTTGTTCCACCATACCCCTTGAATGATAAAAAAAGTTGGTTTAGTCAAATTTGGTGAATGGTATGTGTCCGTTGAATAGAAGGAAACACTGAGTCATCTCCACAACTCTTATTTTCTGGCGATAAGAAGAGAAAATATACAGGGTGAGTCAGAATAAGATCGACAAACTTCGTAAACGGATTCCATACCCCATTTTGAAGAGAAAAAAATCAAGACATATTGATTTCTTCGGAACCCCTGGAGGAAAAAACAATGCATCTTGGTTTACTATTCCAGTTCAATCAGTGAAGTCAAATGGAATTTTCATTTATGAATTTTGATTTCTAGTGGCGTAGTTACGGTCGTATGTATTTTCCTTCATAGTTAGGCATATCGATGCAAAGTATATAGGAAAGGTGTGTGACAAAACGCCTAAATCATAAGTGTTATAGTGTTGTATCTTTGTATTGTATATTATGTTTGATTGTTTTATAATGGAATAGGCTATGACAATACAAAAACTGTAATTATGAGGACTTAACAAATTGTCGTGTTTTAATACTTGTTTACTATAATTTTTTTTTTTATTATTATTATTTTATACAAAGTGTTTGTCAATAAGATCATGTATCTTGGACAATAAACATATATTATCTCTCTCTCTCATACCGCCCAATAAGTTTAATGTCGTTCCTGCTCAAAAAGTTGGAAAGTTTGATAGATACAAATGTCGAGGTATATAACAAATATGCGTATCAGCCAGGCAAGTCAACTGACTCAGCACTTGATGATCTGAACAAGCTTCTCGCAAAGTCGATAGAGGACAAAGAAATAGCAATTACAACATTCGTAGGTATAGAGGGTGCTTTCAACAACGCAACCACAGATTCTATAATCAATGCTCTAGCAAGGAAAGGAGTACCACCACTCCTTTGCCAGTGGATGCCCCTAGGGGGGAGTATTATCGCCCCTACTATGGGCCATTGTAATGTATGAACTGATCAAGGCTATCCTATAAAGGTTATTACTGCTTAGGATACGCTGACGAACTGGTGGTTGTTGCTAAAGTTAGATTCGCTTGTACGGTCTCGGAGCTCACACAAACCGGTCTAAACATATTTGACAAGTGGTGTAAAGATGAGGATCACCCAGTGAACTCTCATAAATCCACTATAGTGAATTTCACAAAAAAGAGAGTATACTGAAAGGATTTAAAGGTCATCAGTATTCAATGGGGTAGAAGTTCCGTTTGCCCTAGAGGCAAAATACTTAGGAGTCATATTTGACCATAAGCAAAGTACAGTAACCTTCAATCTGTGCAGACGAAGGTGAGGAGAAAATTGGGGACTGCGTCTAGAATTGACCACATGGCTATGCTAGTGTCATTAGGCCCATGATAGCATATGGGTCGGTAGTATGGTGGCCAAAGACACAACAGAGAGATTTGAAGGTTCACTGCCATTCAAAGGCAAGCTTGCCTGAGTGCCACTGGTGCAATGAAAACCACTTCAACAGCCGTTTTAGAGGTCCTCTCGAACTTGCAACCACTTCAAATATACATTCAAGGCGAAGCCAGAGCAGTCGTGAGTAGGTTGTCCAGGGGTCAAGCACCCGTAAGCAACACGCACGGTGAAAACTACAGAAAGCTATATAACCAGTTGGAAAGCGACCACATCATGGAAATGCCAACAGATGGCATAGTTCCATAACATAGCTTTTAAAAAACTTCAACAAAAGTATAACGGACAGAGAGGCATGAAAGGAAAGACTTACGATCAATGCAGACATTGCCAAGACTGAGGAAGGGTCAGGAGCTGCTGGTAACTATAGGGCCAAGCCAAAGACAAGAATCTCACTGGGCTTAGGTAAATACGCGACGGTGTTTCAGGCAATATATCATTGCCTAAAAGAGTTCAAAGGGAAAACCATTGCAATCTACTCGGATAGCCAGACGGCAATCAAAGCAGTCAACTCAAAGCAAGTCAACTCAAAAATAGTCTGGGACTGCTTAGAAAACCTGAATGAACTGGGCAGACAGAACAGACTGACTCTAGCATGGGTACCAGCACATACAGGGTACGAGGGCAATGACGAGGCAGACTCGCTTGCCCGAGCAAGAGCAAACAAAGCTCTGAATGGTCAGGAATCCTTTTGTGGTATTGCGAAAGCTATACGAAAGACAAGTATCAAATCATGGATGCAAACCAAATCTCAAGAATGGTGGAACAACTCGGCTTATTACTTTTAGGTAAAGTATCAATCAGCCTAACTGATATCACACACCTTGACATTACATTTGTCAAAGAAAAAAATTGAAGGAACATGTGGCGACATACGATCGTAACTACGTCACTAGAAATCAAAATTCAAAGATGGAAACTTCATTTGATTACACTGATAGATCTGGAATAGTATATCAAGTTTTCATTTTTCTCCTCCAGGGGTTCGGAAGAGAACAATATAACCATTGATTTTTTTCGTACTTCTGACACCCTGTATCTCAGGGAGGATGCATTTTAGGACATACTTAGATATAAACTTTTTTCAAAATAAGGTAAGGAATCCGTATACGGAAGTTTGTATAAGTTCTGACTCACCTTGTAAATCAAGAACTGCCTGAGAACTCTCAACTCAAACAGTGAAATATAAGTGGTAGGTGATAATAGATATATATACCAGGTGAGATAGATTCATGGTATTACACCTTTTTTCTCCTTTGTTTTTTCAGCTATATTTCCGAAATTTGGAACATCGAATATGCTCAATAGAGGACACTTATTTCTCACATTTCAGGATTTCTTTCATCTTCTGGTTTTCCTGGAAATGCTATCAACTTTCGATTTTCAAATGCAATACCCTGAATTTTATTCGAAGTTTCCATTAGCTCAATGGGTGTGACGGCGCAATATCGAATCTTCTTTCTCTGTCACACTCATTGAGCTTATGGAAACCAATTTGAATTGACCAATATGATATCACTTTTTATCGCAAACATCACCAAAGTCAAAATAACCTAGCAATAAACCGGGCGTAAGGTACCTACTCTGCTTGTTTTTAAATATCAAGTGATATAGGTCATCAATGTCATAAATGACAGTTCGGATATTATGCTGCGCATTGCGCTTAAGCGTTTTCAGGAAAGCAAGTGGGACGGTTGAGGGTTCCAAATTCGCACCTGAGATGTTTATAAGAAATATATTGGTTTTTGCACTGATGCGCTTTTGTTTTGCCCAAACTCAACGGCAATAAAAAGTTGAAAATCGCAATCGTACATCTTATTCTAATAGTTGTCGCTGTACAGATTCTCTTTAAAATGGAAATAGGAACTCAATCATCAGAATTTTATCAAACACTTTGAAAAATGAACCTACTTATTACACAATTTCTGTATTTATTTTTGTATGTATAAATTATTGTTGTTATTTGGTTCGATGGGCATTAAAAATATGACGAGCCTTTTACGAATATTCTATGAACAAGAACCACATAAGTGTCGTTAGTTTTTGACCAATGTGAACACCATATTCTTATAAACATCTCAAACGCACCCGAAATAAGCAACATACATTGAAAAATGAACTGCCCCACCAAAGTTAATGGTATTTTCAATTATTAAAATAAAAAAACAAACCAATTTGATTGTTGAGAGAATTGAAATGAAATGTATTGTAATTATTCGTAATATCTCGTAACTCATGTGGAGCAGTTAATTTTCTATATTCGATTAGCGTTCAAGAAAATACATGTAAAACACAGGATTATGCGCTTATCATAGATATTTTGTATTCTCCAAAGAAACAACAACAAAAATAAAAAAAATCAGGAAAAGAGGAGAAGTTACGAATGATTATCAATTATCATGAATCATGCAGAGAAATCCATCTTCCACCCTTCAACTTTTGAATGTTAAAATAATTATTATTAATAAACAGGGTGAACCACTGAACAATAAAATAAGAGACATTTTGTTGGGTTACTATATAGTCTAGTAACTATATTGGAATACAGCATGTCTCATTTCAAACGGCCTCCCCTCTATATCTCAGTTATCAGTCGTGCGATCTTTACCAAATTTGAATCGGTATGAAAGATCAACAATATGACCAGCTCTTCAAAGACAAACATCATATTAGGCATTTTTTCACAGGAAAACTGACCTCATAATATTGTGCTTCATGGTTTCAAACCCACATATGTGAATTTTCATAAGATGCCTATGAAGGGTTTCAGAAAAACAGGCACATCTAAACAGAATTTTTGCGAACGTAATAATTATTTACTCGGAAATGGCGAGTTCAACATAAAAAGTATAACTCGTTTTTCCTTCCAAATCATGATTTTCCACCTACCAACGTTCCAAAATTCGTAGCTGATTTGAAACACTATTCATTCGAGACTGAAAATGAAAAAAATAAAGCCAATCCTGTTGATTCGGAATAAGGTGAGGGTTTGCATAATTATGGAGGTTCAAAAGCATGAGGAACAATAGTATGAGGTTAGGTATCCTGTAAAAAATGCCTACTATGATTTTATGAAAAATCGACCCCTTTTTAGTTCAATAAAAACGCACGGCACTGTCCAAAATAATGTGCATCTATGTAAAACTGATCATATTGATGGTTATCCATACTACACCAAATTTGGTTGGAATCGCATGACTAATAACTGAGATATAGAGAGGAGGGTGCGTTTAAAGTGAGACAGGATATAATAATATCAAGTAAATCGACAAGGTATATGAAATAAACTCTAATAATCCAACATTATTTATATGCAAGGGTGTTCCTAGATATTATGACGAGTTGTCTGATTTTAGGACTAAAAGATCGAATGAACATGTGGCCTAACTCACTTCGTTTTCGAGATATGTACCGGGTGAACAACCATAAGAACGGCTGCCATATCTATCATTCTTCCAACTTTGATAGTTAATATCTTCCGTTAGCGAAAAGCTATCATGTTGCGGTTTTCGTTGGTCTATTGAGATTTAGTTTCACTATTGCATCATGTAATGATATGCATATCATTAGATTTATTCTATCTCAAACTTGTATCATTATTCGTTGCTGAGATATGGCCGACAGCCGTTCTTAGTTGCTCACCGGGTACATAAGTATAGTTTTGAAGTAAGAAATATCAGTTATTTTTTTCATTATCAATCAGTTTGAGTATTCACAATGGCAACATTCAGTAGGTATGATCGGTGGCTGACAAATACAAAAAATTTCAAAATCATACTATTATTGACATTATAGTTATCAACTAATGTATGTCCATAGCTATATTTTGAGCAAAAAAAAAAACACAATTGTAACACCAAACGGCAATACTAGAATTCGTCATTCACTAGAGACTTAATGATTCACTAGAATATTTCTACATGATGTATTTTCAAAAATCATTTCAATCAGAACATACGTTTATAAAAACTTTAGCCCAAAAATGAGACGATGAATATCCAGTCCTTCCATATGTGCAAGATATATAGGAACACCTCGTATATTTCGGACTGTAATCCATCATATGGTGAATTCTTTAGTATAATGTTATTTCTTGGATAATAACGTTTCTCAGTTTTAATGGATTTTTAGTAGCAAAATAAAAACAGAACAGAAAACTAAATACTTTCTCATACCAGAATATCCAACTAGAAATCCAAATTATAGTGTATCCTGTACAGAAAGTAAGTATATATAAGTGACAACGTAGAGAATATTAGAAAAATAACAAATAATTAACATAGAAGAACTGTAATTTAAAGAAGAAGAAGAAAAAGGCAACCAGTGTACATACTCGCAAATTATAAAAATTGTTAGCACATAAAGTAAGCAATTCATAGTTTCTACTGGCAATTCTTGTAGAATAGCTTATACACATAACTTGAGAAGTTATATTTAACTTGTGTTGTTCTTATCCCAGGCTAGGTACGCCACTTATTTATTATAATTTGTACAGATGAAGGGAATATGTATAAGCAAACCATATTGACATTCATAATTATATATTATCTATTTCGATTTGTGGATCGATGCAAATTCTCACAATCATCAGTGTATTTTTATTTAAGATCCGTTCAATTATTCAACAGATCATGCTGACCAATTCAAAAAAACACACTACATTATGATTTCCTCATGTTTCTTCAAACGTTTTCTAATGGATATGATGATTTTAAATGCTCAAAACGATTACAGGTTTCAGGAACTATCTTCTTCACTAATTTCACTGATAGTGCAGGAGCATACGTGGATTTTTTGTGAAGCATTTATATCATATACAATGATGTGATACTGGGTGTTGACTCTGAATTGTGGATTGTTGTTTTTATGATGTGATCTAATGCCGTCATGAATGACAAGCATAAATAAATATCAATGTATTAACTTCCAGTGTGTTTGTACGTCAAAAATGCATAGGAACAGAAGAAGCGCCACCTACTATCTTATTATTTGGAATGTAGTATACCCGATAATATATAATAATATCGATAATATCGATACATTGTGATTATCTATAATCGATAATCCAAAATCACTATTGCCCACCCCCAGTATATACATTCTGTGACTCATGTCCAGAACAGAGTTCATTTTCAAATCGTGGCGTCGATTTTGGATGGCAATTGCAACGTAAGAGCAACCGTTATGTCCCTGTCCTGTGTCTTTTACCATGTGCAAAGCAAAAATCTCTTCAACTCAACAGGTGATCTTGCGTGTTAAAAGAAGATGTGTTCCACCTTGCAAATAATGTCATTCTCAGAATCTCAAGTGCACCGAACTATGTGTGTGTGGTGGAGAGGAAGATGCATGTGATAACCACTGAGAAGCATCATCTGAGGATATTCCAGAGGATATTGATGATGATTTATTGTGTGATGATCGATCGTATTGTATTGTATGCAGAAGGGGTGAATACAACACTGCGACCTAAGAGATCTATTTTGCCCCCTGCTATTGCTATACTGTTTCCAGGTAGGGTACCACCTTCTCCTGCCTGGTATCTATAACGAATGATCTCATCACATTGTTACACAAAAATGCGTTGAAAACTGTTGTTCAAAAGTTTGGTGGCCTATAACTCCGGGACGCGATTTTACTAAATATACTGTACGCTAGCACAAACCACGCCCACCGTAATATCTCATCTTCGAAGTACTTAGGCAAAACTCAGAAACTATTTATCCTTAACGAACTAACCTATCCCTGATAGCAATATTTTTGAGGAAGGAAAACCGAATGGAGTGTAGAAACACATTGATTAATAATATATTTCAAAAGTTGAGTTCTTCAACAAAATTGAATCAAATGAGACTGTTTATCCTGAACGCACTAACCTATTTGACTTCAAATATTTTATGAAAAAGGAAAATCAGAATGAAGTAAAAAAACATTGGTGAAAAAAAAAAAGTTGCAAAAAAAAGTTCAAGTTCACAGCGATTCGAACCATGAACCTTCAGACTGAAAGTCTGACGGCGCTAACCAGTAGACCATTTGGGTGTATGAATTTACTGCGTACAAGAGATTGACAACGAGAGAGCTTCAGTCGAATTCGTGTCAAAATCATTAAAAGTGTATTCTTGCGTTGGAGCACAGTATATTTAGTGCGATGTGCTGACTGCGAGTATATCGGTAATGTTTGGAGATATGACGTATTACGGTGGGCGTGGTTTGTGCTAGCGTGCAGTATATTCAGTAAAATCGCCTCCGGGACCGACGTAGATATCGGAAAATAGCTATCCATATCTATTTTTTCCGTATGGGCACTCTGGGATGAAATATACTGAATTTTTCATATATAGTTCATGCCATTCCTGGCGGCCATCTTGGTAATGGTAATGGTAATTTCTTTGCTTCACAAAAAATCCCACGGAATAACGTTATGCTCCAGAACTATGAGCTGAACATTTTTCATAAGAAGAAAGAGTTCAGAGCATTATATGTTTAGATTAATCAATTTTTGAAGTCGTTATTGTATCACTTTCTTCAGCACCAATTGGTAAAAATCAGGGTCACCTTTATTCTTTTTTGGCGAACTTTCAAGTGTGAGGATTTGCTGATATCATCTTCGAGTTTATCTTCTTCGAATAATTTCAGAAGATTTTCACGCCTGGAGGCAGAAGACCGAAGAAAAACGTGAGGCTGTATTTTATTATGAACACACATCAAATTATTTCGAAATTCTCCATACCAGGTAGACACTGATGTACAAAACATTAATAGAAAAGATCAGTTAGCGTTGAGAGAGAAACCCTATGTCTTCAGAGTCACAACTTGAATAGGTTTGTAACACAAGAAATTGGAAAAAATATTGAAAATGACTATTACAATATTTTTATGTCCTCTTCCGTGTCCGCTATTCACCCTTTTGGGCATTCATAGAACCTAGACAAATCCTAAAACCCCCTCACCTCATATTATGCCCGACAGGCTTCCTATACAGCTCGAACGCCGACCCTCTCTGCTCTCGCGACCCCTGCAAATCCACCACCTGCCCCCTCGTCTCCATGCCCTCCCCGAGGTCCCCCATCACGCCGTACCCCCCGTCGTGCTGCTGCTGGTGGTGGGGATGGCCGCCCAACGGCGTTATCTCGCTCCGCGAGGCGTACGAGATGCTGGGGTGCCGCCCTTGGTACCCGGGCGGCGATACGTCGTAATGGCCGCCCTGTGGGTAGTGGCCGCCCGAGGGATAGCGGGATGCGGGGTCCGCGTGGTACGAGTGATTGGGTGGGGGCGCGTTGTAGTAGTAGTTGTGGTGTTGGGGGGATGATAGGTTCATGTTTTGGTGGCGCTGGTCCTGGAAATGCGGTATAACCCGGTTAGTTTATTTGAAACAACGTTATGCAATGGTGGCTCTGCCACAAGAGATCTCGTTATAAAATAGCGTCTAAAACAACAGCGGCTTGCGGCAACTCTTGTTTTGGTTTGGGTTCAAACTGTATATATTTGCGGCAAAGAAACGAGCCGAGTCAGACAAACCAGTTTTATTTTTCCCAAACTTTGCTAAGTATCTGCAAACTGACAGATAAAACTTTGAATTTTGCCGCGTGACTGATTCACAATTGAATGAAAGTAAAATAGGAACTTAGCGGAGTCCAGTACTTGATTGTTATAAAGATGTTATTAGCATCAACTCACCTGACAGATCAGGTACACTGCTACTCAAATAAACGTATTTCAGCGCAGTTGGAAACCACAAAATACTATTCAATATCAGACACTTCGCTGGGAATAAAAAGAATTAATAATCGTAGGTGACACTCTCTGATACGCAATGAATCGAAATTCACTAGGACCACGAAGAACGACAATTTCGTGAAAAAAGTGAACAGACTTTTTCGACGCTCTAAATAAAAACTAGCGTAGGTACCTACCACACGGCAAATAGTAATCTGAAATATTTAGCTCCAGTGCAGCACTCGTGGGGTGGTGATAAGCCAAATCCAGAAATGAAAAGGATGAAATTGGAAGGTTGTATGCTACTCTATATCAGTTTCGCTACAGCCTACAACAGAGCGCGGTTACATGTAATACGTCCTAGCAACAGGGGGGGGGCGAAACATCGTTCACTGGGCCAGAACCGGTAATCGGTATAGCACATAGCACTGCCAAGAATGTTATAACATCCTGGGCCAACCACAAAAGACTCGAGTATTGGCGTAGTCGTAGTCTACCGGGCCTAGCCCATTCCAAAGCATTTATTGATTGTACAGGGTGGCCAACTAAGACTCCAGAGTACGATTTCTCTGTTGTCTTGAGAGATACAAAAAAAAGTCATTTATCAAAATTGAATTAATAATCCAGCTTCACATTTCAAATTTTCTTTGAAATACACAGGGTGTTCCGTAAGGTCACAGCACATCGAAGCTATGTTTTTTCATCGGAACATCCTATATTTTATTTGATTTTTGAATTCTTCCTGAAGATCTGATTTCAACGACCCATCATACTTAGGGTTTAGCAGTGAAAGTTACTGACATATAGGGTGTGCAAAATCGAGTATTTCCAAGTTCAGGATTTTTTTTTGTCGAAACTGTTCATTATTCGTCAAAACGGTTTACATGTCCCTATCTCAACTTTTCACTCACTATCAATTGGTGTTCAATTGAAATTTAATTGAAACAAATTATAAATTTAGATTTTTTGACCACCTTGTATCAATTTCAATTGAACACCAATTGATAGTGAGTGAAAAGTTGAGATAGAGACATGTGAACCGTTTTGACGAATAATGAACAGTTTCGACAGAAAAAAATCCTGAACTTGGAAAATCTCGACTTTGCATACCCTATATGTCAGTAACTTTCACTGCTAGACCCTAAGTATGATGGGTCGTTGAAATCAGATCTTCAGGGAGAATTCAAAAATGAAATAAAATATAGGGTGTCTCGATGAAAAAAACATAGCTTTGATGTGCTGTAACCTTACGGAACACCCTGTGTATTTCAAAGAAATTTTGAAATGTGAAACTTGGTTATTACTTCAATTTTGATTCATAAATTTTTTTTGTATCTCTCAAGACAACAGAGAAATCGAGCTCTGGAGTCTTAGATGGCCACCCTGTACAAGGAACAAACATGACTCTGACAAACTACTAGAACTCTGAGCAGAGTAATTGTAGGTTTGCTCACTGGCTACTACAAACTCAAACACCACATGCACAAGATGCAGAGTGCCGTCTATTCATGGAGGAGAATGAAACGGCTAAACACATTTTAAGTACCGGGTGAACAACTAAGAACGGTTGTCATATCTATCATTCTTTCAACTTTGATAGTTAATATCTTCCGTTGGCGAAAAGCTATCATGTTGCGGTTTTCGTTGGTCTGTAAAGATTTGGTTTCTCTATTACATCGTGTAATGATATGCATACCATTAAATTTGTTCTATCTCAAACTTGTATCATTATTCGTTGCTGAGATATAGCCGACAGCCGTTCTTAGTTGTTCACCCGGTACATGTCGTGCAGCGGCCAGAATCCGATTTTCAAAATTTGGCAATACAACAGTAGGGCCAGAAAACCTGATAAATTGTTCTCCCAACGTACTCCAAAATTTCACCAAGAGATTAGATATACTGGTAGGGCCATTGTGGCACACCCTATGGTTGTGTTAATTCAGAATTTCTTTCCACGTCCTGTATGATGGATATCAATTCATCAAACATCCAAAAAGTGAATATTAGTGTTCATAATAATCAAGAATGGATAGTGATAGCGATAACAATAGTAGCCAAATTCAAAACATCTGGCATCTTCTTCGACAGCAGGAATTAATATCAATAACTGCACGAACTGTATACGTTCAATATTCACCTTCGAGGTGATTTTTGTAGTGTAATTAAAATAGATAGTGTAATGGCCATAGAACAACTAATGTTAGATATAGCAATTTCTCAATCATTGAATACCCAGTATTGGGATGGAAAAAGTGAAAGGTAGGCGGAGAGAATAGGGATGACAAGGGGCAACAAGGGGATTGTCAGAGAAGGTGACGGTAGATCATCGATCCTCTGTTGAGGTTATATCAAGAACGAATATACTGAATGGAGAATAAAACTGAGATTGATCCTAGTATCCAGTAGCTGAACCTGTGAGCAACATCACGGTACCTATATCGGCACTTGAAAAGTACAACACTGATATTGATCCTGGCATGCAGCAGCCGAACCTGTGAACCTCATCACGGTATATCTCCACTTGAGTATCGTTTATTTTTCATTACCACTGTGAGTAACAGATCTGATATCAACCGGTGGACTGATTTAGATTTGAGGGTGTTAGTTTTAGTGTCGTTTATTCTTCATCACCTGATACGAATATACCTGTAAAATCACCATATGACCCGTTTATTCTGCCAATCCAGAACCCTCAGAGATCTTGAACAGTGCTTACTTTCATGAAAGGTCGACAAAAAATAAGATATGCACCTCGGCTAAAATCCTGTCTATTGTCTCGCCTGCTTGCTAGCCAATGCTATCAATTTGCAGGCTCGATTATAATAGAGTAAATAAACATAAATAACTATTTTTTTTGACTTGAATAAATATTCCTCTGCACTCACCACGGGATTGCTGTGGCTCTTCCCGTGCTGGTATATCGGAGTCGCCTGCACCATCTGCTCGCCTCCCCCTCCGTACCCCTTGTAGGGCGGCTTGTAGTTCTTCGGCTTGGGCGGCGGCACCGGCTTGTACCCGTGGCCGTTCGCTTGCCCCCCTCCCGACAGGTGGTTGGGCGGCCCGGACAGGTGGTTGGGCGGGCCTCCGCCGTTGTTGCCGTCGTAGCCGTTGCGGTGGTGCATGGGCGGACTGCGCATGGGCGACTGCTGCTGGTGGATGCTCAGCGTGGATTCGCGCAGGTCCTGGTGCGAGGAGATGGTGCGTGCGTAGTCGGGCGGCTGAGAGGGCGGCTGCTGGTGGGGGTGGGAGTTGTTGCGACTGGAAGGGAATGACATGATTGAGCGGATGGTTCGATGTTTGAGGCAATGGTCATTTGTTAATTTTTATAGAACCCTTCAAGTAAATAGGTATGTATATCTGTTTCAATATAGCATTTTGAAATCGACAGGTATGTATCTACTCAATACTAGATTTCCTAAACGTACTTGACACTACTGTTTTGACGTTTTTTGTATATTAGAGTACGGACACTATGAAAAGCGTGTGGTCCCATTCAAAATTTCATATCAGCTTTATAGAAATCTATATATTTCTCTAGATGACAATTATATTGATGAACTATTTTGAGAATGATACTCATCAATTCTACAAACCTTACTAAATAAGGTCGGCAAAGACCAGAAAGTTTTAAATATATTGATTCTTTCTCCTATCAAGCCGACAATGCTCGGAATGAACAAAAAGTCCTATTATGACATTTGAGAAGAATACTTCATATACGAATCAATGAAAACTCACCTGTATTTTCCATAATCAGTCTTAGTCTCGATATGGGATTTTCCTGGAATGTGTTGTTTATTGGGAGACCTGAAATCCAAAATGATTTCCATATAGTGAACTCAGAAATGCACCAACATTGTTAAGAAATATTCACATCCTCAACTGAGACGTGATCGAGTTGTAACGACGCAAGTGTTCCATGCACTCCAGCGCCAACTTACCTACGAATATCCCTCGAGTCCCTCTCGACGGACCCTGCTTTAAAGAGGAAAGCCGCGGTGAAGGTAGTCTGGCAACACTGTTCAAAAGGTCTTCCTCCAGCAATTCTCACATATACGATATAAAGGTTGTGGATGCAACGGAGTGAATTTGTCTAGCTATCAAGAGTCAATTGATGTGTTATCGATGTGAAATATTGTTGAAAGCCAGTGAGAAGTGTGAGAAATCATCTAGTGATCTACGGAAAATGTGATTGCGATCAAAGTTAATTTGATCGTTAAGACAAGTGAAATTGTGGTTGTTGATGCATTTTTGGATTCCAAGGGTTTCAAGAAGATTTAGTCTAGTACCTTTATCACAAATATGGAGAATATCAGAATTAATAGAAACATTGAATGAATGATCTGAGTCGATAATATGATTGGCAAAGGAAGAAGGGGAATTCGGATCCTCCGTGGACAAAAATTTGGGAATAAATCTATTGTGTTCAGAAAAACGAATGTCAAAACATCTACCAGTTTGGTAAGCGGCATTGCAATCATTACAGTTCAAACGGTAAACACCTGATTTTTTATTCAATGGAATCTTATCTTTGGAATTAACAAGCAAGTGTTCAAGATAAGAGGTTGTTTTTAATGACATTTTTAAAGAGTTTGGCAACCTGAAGTGAACACGTACCAAAAAAGTTTGACTGACAGTAACATTAAAAGATAATCTAAATCTAGTGTAGAATCTGAAATAAATTTTCATGATATGTTCTAAAGGGAAATGATTGTTCACAGCAATTTGCTTGATGACTTTGATTTCTTTTTCAAAGGCCTGATCAGACAGCGGTAACGAAAATGCTCTGTGAAAGAGGCTATTGAAAGCAGCATACTTGTGGGGAAAGGGATGATTAGAGTTAAAAGAAATAACAGTATCCGTTGCGGTTGGTTTTCTGTAGAATTCAAAATCAAATCTGGAGGTAGTAACATGCTTTGTGATGAGAAGGTCAAGGGTAAAGAATCATTGGATTCAGACTCAAAAGTGAATTTGATATTGGGGTGGAGAGAAATAATGTAATCAAGACAATCAGAAACAACCGAAATGGGACCATCAAATAGTAATAAACAATCATCTACATATCTGTAGTAGAAGATCAATTGATAATTGAAAGCAGTATTGTTCAAGAATTGTTTTTAAGAATTGTTCATGAAAATCTCCGCTACTAAGAGAGATAGGTTGCTACCCATAGCCAAGCCAGTAGATTGATGAAAAAATGTATTGTTAAATTGGAAAAACTTCTGGTTCAAAACTAAATGAAGTAGGCTGCAAAAATCTAAGAAATGATGCAATAACACATTATTGTCTAATAAAAGATTCCTCACTAAACAGATACAATCATCTGGAGGAATGCTGGGGAACAGATTATTGACATCAAAAGAGTAGAGGTTGCAGGAACATGAATATGTTTAATTTTGTTGGCTAGGTCTACAGAATTCTTAACTGAGTAACGATTATCAAAAGCGGTGAGATCTCTCAATAATTGATTAAGAAAAGGAGCAAGCTGACAACATGGGGATTTAACAAAGGAAACCACTGGCCTGATAGGAACATCAACACAGGGGTATAAGCACACATGGGATATAATTGAAACATTGATTTGTCAAAAGATATTAAGGTTGATGAGGAAATGTTTAATTCTTTCTTTAATTTTGCAAAATAAGACTTGGTTGGATCAATACTAATGCACTGAAATGAATCTGTACTAAGGAAATCTTCAACTTTAGAGAGATCAGCTCTGTCCAAAATCACAATACAGTTGCCTTTATCTGCTTTGGAGAGAACTAAATTATTATCTTTGAAACTGTTTTTGATGAAGCGGACTGTTTGATTATGAGGAGAAGCGGAATGGGGGAATCTGGGCTTGTTACTGATTGAGTTAATCAATTTGGTAGCCTGAGCTCTCAAGAGAGGTTTATTAGCAACACGAGGAGATAAGATAATCTGTCCAACATCATTTTATAATCTACATGATTATCCCACATCAGATTATTATCAATCATTATGCCAAGTTTTTTATGCCCTCCTGCGGCAACCATGCCAACCCACCTATACATATCCCTCGAGTCCCTCTCGACCGACCCCCTCGGGCTGACCGCCTCCGTTTGCCCGCCCTCCTTGTCCGACTCCCTCGAGTGCCTCGGGCTGCTGTCTGCGTGCCCGTACTTGTCCGCCTTCCACCCGTACTTCGGCACGCCGTTCTGCGGGCGCGCCGTCGTCGGATCGATCTTCGACAGCGTGGTCTTGAGATCGTCGTGCGCGTTGGGGCCGATGCGCGTCGGACCGGCCGATTGCTTGTTGAAGGAGTCGTAGCTCGATAGCGAATCCTGAAAATGATTCAAACTTATTATACATATTTACATCTGATATTTGAAAGTGTTGTGACATTCCTGATCAAATTGTATTATATGCTGACGATACCAATATCTTAATGTCCCATAAGGATATAGGTCAACTAGTAACAAATAGTAACGCAGCTTCTGATGAGTTTCACAAGTATTGCTCTCAGAATGGCCTCCAACTAAACGTTTCAAAAACATATTTTATGCGGTTCATCCCAAAAAATGTATCTCCAGATTATGATCTCTACTTCAATGTCCACCCATCAACTAAACTACTCAACACTAATTTCGTCGCACACCAAAATGTCGCCCCTGTTATAATGTGAATAACTTTTTTCAGTTTGAAACAATTTGAATTTGGTTCACACTGTTCGATAGCCCAGTCCTTCAGCTATAATCTCGTACTTCATTGAAACATAAGGGTATTCACATAAAATGGTGTTTTCCGACTCTGTGCAAAATTTCGGAATATTCAAAAGGCTCTCAAATGGTGAAAAAAATGTTTTTCTCAACTTCGACAATAGAGGCATGAAGATGATCTCATTACCTCGAGATGTTTCGCGAATCAACTTCCTATCTCTCTTATTTACAGAGTGATCTCAAAAAATCAACTTTTTGGTTTTGCAGCCATAACTTTTTTCCACGTCAACCGATTTTAGAAATCTTAGGCTCATTTTGAAGATAAAACTTCAGATGAAGATATCTGAATATCAGAATTGATTGATCAGAGATCTAGAGTTTTCTTGAAAGTAACCCAAATCTGGAACGCCCTCCGAATCTCGGTTGAATGAAAACCAACTTGTTCTCGGAAAAACAATTCATTCTGGATGCGTCCATATTTTCCTCGCTCTCAGTAGTCAAGAACTGTGCGTGAGAAAACACAATTGAAACATGTTCTTGCAAGAATATCAGACCATTTCTCCTCTGTAATGCAAGGCCCGTAACCAACGTTACAAGAATCACAATGGACTGGCAAACCCGACCGCTAAGGCTCATCATGAATGATGTACCAACGACCCTATGCGGTCTCGCATTGTCATCAACGAGAACAAAGTTGTCACCCACATTCGCGTTAGATGCGGCATCGAAACTATCGAAATCTGTTTATGATTTGAAAACGACCTCTAACCTGACTTGTCAGTCACTTACTGTGATTCTTGTAACGTTGGTTACGGGCCATGCATTACAGAGGAGAAATGATCTGATGTTTCTGCAAGAACATGTTTCAATTGTGTTTTCTCACGCACTTTCTTGACTACTGAGAGCGAGGAAAATATGGACGCATCCAGAATGAATTGTTTTTCCGAGAACAAGTTGATTTTCATTCAATTCTCCTCCCAATCGAGATTTGGAGGGCGTTTCAAATTTGGGTCACTTTCAAGAAAACTCTAGATCTCTGATAGCCACCTTGAGTCAATTCTGAAATTTAGATCTCTTCATCTGAAGTTTTATCTTCAAAATGAGCCTAAGATTTCTGAAATCGGTTGACGTGGAAAAAAGTTATGGCTGCAAAACCAAAAAGTTGATTTTTTGAGATCACTCTGTAAATAAGAGAGATAGGAAGTTGATTCGCGAAATATCTCGAGGTAATGAGATCATCTTCATGCCTCTGTTGTCGAAGTTGAGAAAAAAATTTTTTTTCACCGTTTGAGAGCCTTTTGAATATTCCGAAATTTTGCTCAGTGTCGGAAAACACCATGTAGAGATTTTATGTGAATACCCTTATGTTTCAATGAAGTACGAGATGATAGCTGAAGGACTGGGCTATCGAACAGTGTGAACCAAATTCAAATTGTTCTGAACTGAGAAAAGTTATTCACGTTATAGCAGTGGCAACATTTTGGTGTGCGACGAAATTAGTGTTGAGTAGTTTAGTTGTAATGATTTGTTCACTAGAGCACAAGTAATGACATTACCTAGTTTATATATTTATCGCTTGATCCTCTATATTCGAGATAATATACAGAGGTTTGGGAAGAATGAAGATATGTTCACTTGCATGATACAAGAATGAAGTATAATCTACATCAAGCTTATTCACGTTTACAGGCCTGCCAAAATTCACCTAATTACATAGGAATAAAATTGTACAACAAATTCAAACAAATACACAGGAATTATGAAAACAGGGATAAGCTATTTGAAAGAGTACTCAAAAATATTTGGCTTGAGAATGCCTTCTATACAGTTGAACAGTTCCTCAGTATTTCTTCTTGAAATTTCTTTTAATCTATTTGTGAATGTATAGTAGTAATGAATAATTTGTGATTATATTTTATTGTGCTTATATGTATGTACCGATGCATGTATTTAGACTAGGCAGATAAGTGTTACGGATCGTAATTTGTAGGTCCTGCTCTTCCCAACCCCGCACAAGTTTCGACTTCTGCGGAGTTGGTTCCCAACTTTGAAGTAGCAATATCAAATTATACAAAAATAACCGCGTCTGAGAATATGCGACGTGTGGAGTGAAAATCTGAGTGATCCAGGAACAGACCAAGATTCTTTGTTTTTTCTTTGAGAGGAAGTTGCGAATTTTCAAGAGAAGTTTTAAAATTATCGACCTGCAGTTTCCTCATGACAGCTCTGCCAAAAGGTATAACAAAAGACTTCAGAGGATTAACTGTCAGGCAATATTTATTGGAGGTCTTCCTTAAATGGATGACATGCTGTGACGATAGAGTCTCCGTCAAACTGTTTATAAATTTGGGTGTCATCCGCGTAGCTATGTATATTTGTGTGACTCAAACATTTCGGGAACTGGGAAGTATATAGTACAAACAGAAGGGGATCAAGAATTGAGCCCTGAGGCACACCGTTGCGTGTGATGGGAATGTTCGATTTCCTGTTATTTAGAAATACACATTGGGATCGACCAGAAAGATAATTATTCAGCAACATCACTATGCCATCTGAGAAGCCAAGATACGATAAGAGACTCAAGAGTAGGAGATGATGAATTCTATCGAATGCTTTTGAATAGTCTAACAGAACTAATGCACTGAGTTTTTTGGCATCGACTGCAGCGTGTATATCATCCACTACTTTCAGCATAGCTGTAGTACAACTATAATTTGTACGGAAACCTGATTGAGAGGGAGGTAGAATAGTAAATAAAACAAGGTGATTTCTTATTTGAATATTGATAATTTTCTCGAACAATTTAGAAAGAGCACATAAAATACTTATTGGGCGAAGATTTTGAGGACTTGATAATTCAGCCACAGGAATTACATATGTATGTATATATAAGAATACTTATTAGTTTTTTAATCATTTTCAATCGTCAAATATTATGAATAATTTTCATAAACGTCTCATTTGCTGGATGAAGTTGATTACTACAATAAAGGTTCATTATTATGATATTTCGCAATAGTATCTATAATTTTAGTACTTTCGTTATATTACTAGATGATATGATCATAAATTGACAGTCATTATGTTACAAATGAATTCATTCTTCAATTAAACAAATCTTTTTTCTATCAAAGCAGATTATATCTTGCAATAGCACATAATACTTTGAGCCCGTCCGCACCACACAAATGGCACACCGACAGCTGATCTGATTTTGTGGTTATGTATGTGTTTGTTTACCAGTTTCACTTGTGTCAACTTTTGATCTCCAGTTTTCAGCCTATGTCTACAGTTTATACATATTTGTCTAGATAGTTGTCGAGTGGTTTTGTTATAGTTAATTAGTCATCGTTATTTCTCATGACATAAACATCAACAACGACGCCAAGTTGTCTTCTTCGTATATTTTTTTATCAGTTTTTTATTCCTTAGCTATTCGCTAGCTGTATTTTTCATCATCAGCTAAATTCAGAATGGATTCAGAATGTACAGGGTGTTTCGCCATAAATTTCCCCTCCTCTAGCTCATTTATTTTTGAACTGATTTCAAAATTTTCAAAATCATCTGAAATGATTTTTCAGAAAAAAAAATCCGCTACATAAGAATACAGGATGCTGGGAACAAACGATCTATCTTTCTATTTTAAGATTTTCCCTGGAGAGAAGATTTAGCAATGTGTCACACTTGGGGTCTAGCGGGAATGATTACAGAGATATTGTTTTGTCTCGAAACCATGTATCTATCTATGGGAATTTCTTAGATATGTAAATATTTTTATAAAAAAATTTGAATAAAAGATAGCTAGAAAAGATGGCTAAATGCAATTTTTAGTAGCTAGCAGAGCACAACTTCCAAAGAAAAATATTTTGCATTTTCATGTTGAGAACGGGAGCAGATTCATTCCCGAAACGTCCAGAGATGAGTAAACATTCGATATTTTTTCAATATATCTATATTTCTTTCCTCCAAACATTTTTTCAAACAAAGTGTCACTGACAAGCTACTGGATTTTTCTTTTAGGCTCCCTGATAGAAAAATGTGTTAAACGCAGTGACATTTTGGCACAAATCATCTGATTTGTCCCACTACAAATATATTGAAAAAATACGCATATTTTTATCTTATAAAAACGAGGAGAGAAAATCCCAAGAAATCAAGTAAAATGAACACCTGGTATATGGTTCTTACCGATTTCGAGTTCTGACTCCTGTCGAGGGACCCCGGCTTGGAACTGAAATTGCCCCCGTCCTGCCCGCCCGCTTCGTGGGACTCGCCCTGCGAGGGCCCTTTGGTGCCGAACAGCCGCTCGTGCGCCGACCGCCCGTTCGGCACCTTGTTGGGCGTGGCCAGGATGCCGGCGGGCTTGGCCGCCCGGTCGACGCGCGGCGGCAGGTCGGGCACCTGCCCGTATACGCCCTCCTTAGGGGCAGCTTGATCCGGCCCGGGTTGGGCTTTGGCGTGGTGGTAGTTGCCGTGCAGGGTGCTCGCTTGCCGCTTGTGCTGCAAATTCTTGTCACCTGGAAGTACAGCTTGTAGTTAGACCAGCGAATTTTTCGAACCTCAAGGTTATCAGAAGGTTATTCGTGGTTATAACCAACTAAACATGTAATGTTATCAATATATTGTAATATGAAAAGAAATTTTTGAATTCATAGTCATCAAACTACACAATATAACTTATTTCACCTTGATGCTGCTAGTTCTATACTCGGACAAAAAAGATTCACTCATGCAGCCTTATCTGAGTTCAATAAACTACCAGATGAAATTAAAAACTGCAGAAATATAGGAACATTTGAAAATTGAATAAAAAAACAGATCATTTCTGAGAGAAATGTTTAAAATTCATCAGTAAGTTATGTCCTTGACTAGAATTCTTTCTTTTTTCAAAGACTTAGGTTTTGAAAACGTTTATCAGTCTGGGTCAAAATTAGGCAATTTATTAGGCAATCCGAAAGATAAACTGGACACACTTGAGAAGTCGGGAATATACGAAATAAGTTGTAATAATTGTGATAAAACATATGTAGGCCAAACCAGGCGACCCATAAAAACAAGGTTCAAAGAACACATAGCCCATTTGAAATATGGCAGGTTAGATAAATCTTGTGTAGCTAAACATATGTTCAATCACAATCATGACACACATATTACTCACCTCAAATTAGTTAAGCAAGTTAATTATATTAGAAAATTAGACGCATATGAAAGCTTTGAGATATTTGAGAATAGTAATAGAGTAATGAATAAGGATAATGGACCTATTCCATATAGCCCTTCATATAGTTTAGTAATTTGAAAATTAAGAATAACATGTGAACTGTTCTACCATGACAAACATCAACTTGACGGTTAGTATTTTTCACGATTGGGTGAACATATACCTAGTATATAAGCAGCACACTAGAATAGGATATTTAGTTTTAATCTTCTCCTGCAGATGCTAACATAGTTAGCGAAACACGTGTCGAGGCGTTAAAAAAATCGGTTTGATTAGTTGTAAAACAGTGTAGTGTAGAATTCTCTTCTTTGTTGTTATTATTCAGGTTCACTGCTATTCATGTTTGTGTAATAGTTCATAGATATTTTTATTACTTATTATTTTATAATTATGTTCCTCCTCACACCAGAACTTGTTTGTATAGTAAAATGAGTTTATAACATAATTTTATATCATTTTACAGTGACAATCATTGAGCGTATATTCCTGTTTGCACTGTTATTAATTATACTATTTGTGTGTCTACTTTTTTCATTTCCATAACTATGACAATTTTCTATTGGCTAATGATGGGCTTATATGAGCCCGAAACATGTTCCTTTGAGATTGATCTTTGATTATTCTAATAAATGTTGTGGAGATGAATTTGGGTTTTCATCTATGCACTACACCACTCCACTTTGAGTTAACATGGACTTCTCCCAAAGATTAATAATTTAATTTATCAAATGAGTAGGTCAGCTTTTTCCTAAAATTATTCCTAAAAGTGCCGTTGCCGAGAATGAGTGAGATTACTGCCTTTACCGTTATACTCATTCCTCCTCTCCGCAGACCCGAACTCGTTGTGCCTCCTTTCGGGCGAACCAAATTCCCCCCTTCTGCCATCGAAATCATGCCGCTGGTCCCCCATCTTGGGATAATCAGGCTTCTGGTAGGCGTCCGACGAGTAGATCTGGTTCTTGTCGCCATAAATAGGGATCTTGTCGTAGGGGCTCTGCGGCATCTTGTCATAGGGACTTTGCGGCATCTTGTCATAGGGGCTCTGCGGCATCTTGTCGTAGGGGCTCTGCGGCATCTTGTCGTAGGGGCTTTGCGGCTCTACGGAGGAGGGGATGTCAGGGCTAGAGAGGGCGTAGGGGGCTTCTTTCGTGAGGGGCGAGTCGGTGGGGGTGAGATTGGGGTCGGTGGGGGTGGGTTGCTGGTCTTGGTTGAAGCCGTACCGGGTGTCGTATGTGGGCTGTGGAAACGACAATAACATTCTGAATTGATAGCAGATAATTGAAAACAGTTCACAAACAACCGATTTTTAGGTTTGCATGAAGACAGGGAATTGGAATTTGTAACATACTGGGTTGGGCATATGTGTGGAAACTCCTTAATATCTCGAAAATGACAAATGAGTCCCAATGAAAATATTCAGAAATCTGGCAACATCGCCGATACTATTTTTGAATTCCTCAGGTCGAACAGCCCGCCCCTAGGTACTGAAATTCATCGATATAACATTTATTGTTTCAGAGATATCCAGGAGTTCACATACTTTTTTCAAAGAATGCTGGTTTGCCAAATCTTAGAAAATATTCAGAATCTGAATTTGTCAATTGGCGGTTCTATCAGATAAAGCATCAGCAATCGAATGCAATTATAATAAACTGAGTGTTGCATATTAAAAAACAAAGTTGTGTCACGCACAGCAAAATACAGAAATCTGGCAACATTGCTGATACGATTTTTGATTTCCTCAGGTCAAACAGCCCCCAAGGACCGAGTTTCATTGAGATCGCATTTGTCGTTTTCGAGATATTAAGGTGTTTCCACACATATGCCCAACCCTGTATACATACAGGGTATGTCTACACAAGCTTACACTATCTCTATATGGAGAATCAGTCTCGAGATATCCATGAAAATATGCATGCCTATATTTCAGGATACGCTCTCTTCATTTAAAATATTTTCAGCAGTGCAGTGTTGCCGCTTCTATCAAAAAGTAGCAACAACTTTGTTATTTCAGATAGAATACCCTGTATTTTATTGCATTTTCAGATTCTCCCTGGAGAGCTGATTTCATCGATACATCACACTTGGGGTCTATCGAAAATGATTACAGAGATATAGGGTGTTCAAAATCGAGATTTTTCAACTTTAGGATTCGTTTGTGTCGAAACTATTTATTATCGACCAAAACGGCCTGTCCAACCAATATTTACCTTAGGACAAGATCCACAGTTGATCCACGTTTAATCAGCGTATTCATGAACATAAAATATATTTTTTTTTAAAGAAAACGAATTCATCATATACCAATCATATATCAGAAGAAAACCATGGTTTTGATAATAATTCAGAAATTCTACACGTAGAAAATGAAGGAATGACACTCAATCATTTTGAATCATTAGAAATCAACAAACTCAAAAAATTTCACATTTCACTTAACGATCAATTAGACCTCAATAGTTAACCACTGTTGAATTTGTTTTCTTACTAGGTAATAATATGTATTTGCTTTCAACCCTCTCAAGTAAATCCGGTACACCGTATTTTAATGTAGATATTGTGCCTTATTTCCGGAAATTAAGGTTTATGGAACCTGTCCACAGGTAACTAATCCTTCAAGTTGGGAAAGTATGATAGGGTGAGTCAATAGTGTGTTCTCCTTCGATATTAGCCAAACCGTCAGGTATATAAAAAATATTCGAATTCAACAGTTATAGAATTTTATGAGAGCTATCACCTAAAATTATTTTCATATCTATAGGATGTTCGAATTCCAAGATATCGGCTTACATGCCCCTATCTCAACGTTTGATTTACTATCTACTGAAATTTAATTGGAATAGATACAGGATGATCGGGAATCTTGAATTTTGAACCACCCTGTATTTGTTACAATTAAGTGTCAGTAGATGGTGAATCGAAAGTTGAGATAGGGACATGTGAGCCGTTTCGACCAATAATGAATAATTTCAACACAAAAAATCACAAAGTTGAAAAATATAGATTTTGAACACCCCATATTTCTATAAACATTTCAGCTAGTCCCCAAGTGCGATACATTGATGAAATCAGCTCTTAAGGGAGAATCTAAAAATGTAATAATATACAGGATGTCTCATTTGAAAACACCCATCAACCGATATATTGGAATTCGAACACCCTATAGATATGGAAATAATTTTAGGTGATAGTTCCCGAGAAACTCTATAACTGTTGTATTCGAATTTTTTCTATATATCTGACGGTTTGGCTAATATAGAAGGAGAACGCACTATTTACTCACTCTGTATAGAAGTTGAGTAAGCCAAGGTTGGTTTAGTTCATTGTACCAGTATATCACTTGACGAAGCTACTGTGTTAGCAAAACATGTTGTGTGTTTAGGAATTTTGTGGAAATCTTATCATTTGTGAAGGTTTTACATTTGCTATGGATTTCCATCGAGGAACGGCCGAGTCAATTCGAAAAAGTATTTTATTTTATTCAAAACAAAGTTTATAATCAATCTTCGTGTTTTTCTCCTTCATACTACCACCAACCTAGCCTAAACCTCACAATTCTCACACCAGTCATTTACATACAGTAGAAATAGCAGTGGTCCAAAGGCTGAGCCTTGCGGCACACAATGTTTAATGTGAGCAGCATGTTTCAACAGATTGTTGACCGGTAAGGTATATTGTCTTGTACAGGGGTGGATCAACAAACAATCAATCAATGAATTCAGATCAAACAAACCTGGTAAGGCGGCAGCACGTCCGTGGTGCTGCTGTCCGGCATGACGACGCTGGGATCGGAGCTGGCCTTGGCCAGTCTGCCGACCCCACCGGAGCTTCCGGATACGCCCGGAGAATTTGGGGGACCCGGACTGTGTTCCAGGTCGCTTTCCGGGGAGCTAGCGTACGAAAGCCGAAGCGACGACATCGGGAAGAGGAAGTCGTCGGACAGAGATTCTTCGGGCTGGAATCAATGGTTTTATTTACAGGGCGAGGTATGGCGATGAGGATGATGTTAGCGAAAACGGTGTTAATGACGATTGCCTCCAGCAGTAATGAGTTTCGGTTAAACTTGTTAATGTGGCGAATACTGTACAAATACGAGGAATGGTGATGATTGAACGATTGGATATGGAAAACAAAACGTTGACTGTAATGAGCGTTTCCTAATTACACATTGAATCGGAGAATTATAGAAACACCATGCCAAGAACGGAAAATGAATGTATTACAGATATTGCAATGAAATTCGTGCATTAATACATATAGCCATCTTATTTTTTATGCTGAGAAACAGATACCTCCTAACTCAATCTTTCAAAAAAAGTTTTTCTTTTGTAGTTATATATCTTTGTTATTGCAAAGTTTAAGTCGCTCATGTATTATCATAATATACAGTGTGTTCCACTTACCATGCTCACCATGGGTATCTTTTCAACGGTGAAATGACACCAAATGTGGAGTTTGTCAAGGCCAACTATAATGTGAAAAAATATTCTGATAAATTCTATTCGTTTTTGTTTTAAACACAAAAAACAGATTTTGCTCATTTTCATGTCTCCTCCATAACTTCTTTATTTATAAAAATATTCGAATAGGAATTTCACATTCTCATGGCAGTTTTTCAAAATGATTTCGGAAAAAATATGAAATTTATATCAACTCTTCTAGAATTTGAGATATCAGCACCAACTTTAGTTTTTCAAATGTGGGTCATAGCTCCCTAAGACTTAGTTACAAATAACTTTTTTTTCTCTTGCAGATGATATGTCGCAGTAATAGTTTCGTGTTGATAACAACGGAGTTATCGTCATTTCTACAAAATCAAAAAATTATTTGGAATCCGCCATCTTGAATTTATGAATTTTAACAAAAAAATCATGATCTCCGACCACAAAAACCCCCACTTACCAATTTTGAATAGAATCGGATCAAATTTTGTCCGCCATCTTGGAGCAGCCATTTTTTTCAATTGATGGCGGACATGATTTGGTCCGATTCCATTCAAAATTGGTAAGTGGGGGTTTTTGAGGTCGGAGATCATGATTTTGTTGTTAAAATTTATAAATTCAAGATGGCGGCTTCCAAATAATTTTTTGTTTTTGTATAAATGACGATAACTCCGTTGTTATCAACACAAAACTATTACTGCGACATATCATCTGTAAGATAAAAAAAAGTTATTTGTAACTAAGTCATAGTGAGCTATGACCTACATTAAAAAAACTAAAGTTGGTGCTGAAATATCAAATTCTAGAAGAGTTGGTATGAATTTCATATTCTTTTCGAAATCACTTTGAAAAACTGCCATGAGAATGTGAAATTCCTATTTGAATATTTTTATAAATAAAGAAGTTACGGAGGAGACATGCAAATGATCAAAATCTGTTTTTTGCGTATAAAACAAAAACGCATAGATTTCATCAAAATATTTTTTCACATTATAGTTGACCTTGACAAACTCCACATTTGGTGTCATTTAACCGACCTCGTATCTCTCACCGTTAAAAAGATACCCATGGTGAGCATGGTAAGTGGGACACACTGTATAGCCATCTTATTTTTTATGCTAAGAAACAGATACCTCCTAACTCAACCTTTCAAAAAAAGTTTTTCTTTTGTAGTTATATATCTTTGTTATTGCAAAGTTTAAGTCGCTCATGTATCATCATAATATAGAACAGCCCAATAGGCCACCTGAAATCAGAATGGGAATGGAGTGAAACAAATTCATTTTTTCTATATTCATCTCCAGATATGACATGTTAAGTGGTGGGAACTTTTTTCTTTCCCATCGTGAATTTCAAGAAATTAGTTCAAACATTCAGGAATCTTTAGTACCAACAGAGAATTCTCATTAATGACTCTATCAATATCATCATAATTTAATGCAACATTTTGTACATAGGTTGTTGAGAATTTTCAACCTATCTCGTCTACTCCCCAACATGAACAATATTTCATCCTCGGAACTATCAGAAAAACTGCAAGAACTTCTGGATCTGGAGACAATGACTCCAATAACACTATTAATAAATAATTTTCCATTTTACATAAGTTTTCGCCAATTCTGAGCTTCTAATCGAAAACAATCAAAATCCTATCAAATCACTAGAAGAAAAATAAATGAAGGAAAAAACAGTTGTGATTGTCTGTGTGTTACTAAAACTCCAGTACTATCTAATTCTTGTTCACCCTTATTTAGATATAACCACTAAGACGAGATTGCAGAGAATCCCTATTGTCAATTTATCCATCGTCCTAAGAAAGTATGATCATATCAGTACTTTTGTTCGTGCACTGGAATGTCTGAATATCGAATATTTGTGGAAACATCATTGTCTCGGTTTTGTAAGACATCTCAGTTTTATTGTATTCGAGAAATAAATTGATGCTTCGAAATCAATTACACAGCGCCACCATACGCACTATACAAATTCTCTATATATACCACAACATTCAACAGCCAAGTATGAGAAATCTTTCACTTATCATACTCTGAAATTGTACAGGGTGGCCAACTAAGACTCCAGAGTTCGATTTCTCTGTTGTCTTGAGAGATACAAAAAGAAAGTCATGTATCAAAATTGAATTAATAATCCAGCTTCACATTTCAAAATTTCTTTGAAATACACAGGGTGTTCCGTAAGGTCACAGCACATCAAAGCCATGTTTTTTTCATTGGAACACCCTATATTTTATTTCATTTTTGGATTCTCCCTGAAGATCTGATTTCAACGACCTATCATACTTAGGGTCTAGCAGTGAAAGTTACTGACATATAGGGTGTGCAAAATCGAGATTTTCCAAGTTCAGGATTTTTTTCTGTTGAAACTGTTCATTATTCGTCAAAACGGTTTACATGTCCCTATCTCAACTTTTCACTCACTATCAATTGGTGTTCAATTGACATTTAAGTGAAACAAATTATAAATTTAGATTTTTTTGACCACCTTGTATCAATTTCAATTGAACACCAATTGATAGTGAGTGAAAAGTTGAGATAGGGACATGTAAACCGTTTTGACGAATAATGAACAGTTTCGACAGAAAAAAATCCTGAACTTGGAAAATCTCGATTTTGCACACCCTATATGTCAGTAACTTTCACTGCTAGACCCTAAGTATGATGGGTCGTTGAAATCAGATCTTCAGGGAGAATTCAAAAATGAAATGAAATATAGGGTGTTCCGATGAAAAAAAAAACATAGCTTTGATGTGCTGTGACCTTACGGAACACCCTGTGTATTTTAAAGAAATTTTGATATGTGAAGCTTGGTAATTACTTTAATTTTGATACATGAATTTTTTTTGTATCTCTCAAGACAACAGAGAAATCGAACTCTGGAGTCTTAGTTGGCCACCCTGTACAATTCACTTCATCCTTCGACGAAAGTCTCAATAGACTGTTATAAAAGAATGATTAACACATTTTTTCTCTCGTTTTTTTTCTTTTATACGATATGGTAAATCATTATGTATATGGATATAGAAGATTCACTTATATAGTTATCAACAAAGTCGCAAGTTATCCACACCAATAATAACACTTATATGCAGGGTTAGGAGTAGGAGTAGCTATAATGGCTGAATATCGTTCTGCATTATGTTTCTAAGACATATCAAAATGTATGAAGACAATTATTTTTATCTTCATCATTATTATTATTATTTTTATTCGTTGGTTGTTTATAAGGTATCATAGTGAGGTTAAGTTTGCAACTAGAAATTTGAAAAAGTCCATCTGAGAAAGTGTTCATAACACTGAATGTGTTTCTTCAGAGGAGCCCGAAAATAGCCTATTTTATAATTTCTTTAATCCTAAGAATTATATCAATTAAACTAGAGCTGTTCGAATACGTGTAGCGGTATGAGCAGTTCATACCCGTCTTACGATCTCACACACCTCAACACCTCGCGCATAGGCATTTAGCTTCAAAACACGGACGAGATTGAACTGCGCATATCCCTACTCGTAGTATTTACTCAAACTTCTCCGAAAACTTCCTCTTTTATAGTCAAATGCCTCAAATCAAACCGAGAAAAGTTTTTACCATCGAAAATCTGTTCTGAATTTGTTTGGACATCATAATAAATGGGTTCACCAACTCTCTGCTCAATATTGTTGTTATCGTCGAAATCATGCTTGATGTATACACTAGCGACATCATGCGCGTTAGTAGAACTAGCAACACACAACGGATTAACAGAAAAATCGTAATGAAGTGAATTGTACAATTTTAGAGCCTGATAAGTGAAAGATTTCTCATACTTGGCTGTTAGATATTGTGGTATATCTAGAGAATTTGTATAGTGCATATGGTGGCGCTGTGTAATTGAATTGTTGGAGTCATCAGTGTTGAAAAAAAACGCAGGTATTTGACATTAACAATCACAACTGTTTTTTCCATTATTTATTTTTCTTTTTGTGATTTGATGGTGATTTAGATTCTTCTCAATTAGGAGCTCAGATTTGGCGAAAACTAATGTAAAACGGAAAATGATGTATTATATAAAAGTGTTATTGGAGTCCTTTCTCCAGATCCAGAAATTCAGCAGTTCTTCTGATAGTTCGGAGGATGGAATATTCTTTATGTAGGGGAGTAGACGAGATGGGTTGAAAATTTTCAACTACCTTCATACAAAACGTTGCATCAAATTATGATGAGATGGATAGAGTCATTGATAAAAATCCTCTGTTGGTACCCAAGTTTCCTGAATGTTTGCACTAATTTCTTTTAATTAATAATCTGAAAGAAGAAAGTACCTACCCCTCGAAATTTATTCTATTTCCGTTGGTGTCAGTAATGCAGCTATTTTTTTATTTTCACATTCTAGTCAGATTTCGATTGAGTCAACCATATTTTTTCTGAGGAAATGGCAAACAGCTTTCGAATCCAATATTTAGTTTTAGTTTTTTGAGGTTATGCCACAGATGCTGTCGCTGTCGTTTCGGAATCCAAAAAAATGTGTCTACCATATCTGTACATCGGTGGAATGGTTTGCAATTTTGATTGACACAACAGTAATAAATGGACGCATAATTACGTCAAACTAGATTCCACCAAAGAATATATGATCACATTTGGTGGATTGATGGAGCCACCGGTGAATAAAAGACCGTCCCTATGGGCTGTCCCGACTCGAAATCGGCGTTAGGTACGCGTTGTACCATCATCTACTCATACTGAGAACGATTAAGGATGATTTCAAGTTCAAAATTCTTCCTTTGAGAAAAAACTGTGTGTTACCAAAACTCCAGTACTATCTAATTCTTTTTCACCACTATTCAGATATAATCACTAAGACGAGATTGCAGAGAATCCCTATTGTCAATTTATCCAACGTCCTAAGAAAGTATGATCATCGTGCAATGGCTGAATATTGAATATTTGTGGAAACATCATTGTCTCGGTTTTGTACGACATCTCAGTTCCATTGTATTCGAGAAATAAATTGATGATACGAAATCAATTACACAGCGCCACCATACGCACTATACAAATTCTCTAGATATACCACAACATTCAACAGCCAAGTATGAGAAATCTTTCACTTATCATACTCTGAAATTTTACAATTCACTTCATCCTTCGACAAAAATCTCAATAGACTGTTATCAAAGAATGATTTACAAATTTTTTCTCTCGTTTTTTTTTCTTTTATACGATATGATAAATCATTATGTATATGAATATAAATTTACTTATAGTTATGAAGAAAGTCGCAAAGTTATCCACACCAATAATAACACTTTATATGCAGGGTCAGAAGTAGGAGTAGCCATAATGGCTAAATCTCGTTCTGCATTATGTTTGTAAAGACATAATGAAATCTATAAAGATGTTTATTATTATCTTCATCATTATTATTTGTATTCGTTCTTCGTTGAGTTTGCAACTAGAAATTTGAAAAATTCCATCTGAGGAAGTAACCACGTGTTCATAACAGTGAGCCCAAAAATAACCTATATTATAGTTTCTTTAATCCTAAGAATTATATCAATTAAACTAGAGCTGTGCGAATACGTGTAGCGGTATGAGCAGTTCATACCCGTCTTATGAATTCAACACCTCGCGCATGGGCATTTAGCTACAAAACACGGACGAGTTTGAACTGCGCATATCCCTACTCGTAGTATTCTGATTTGGTCTGTATTTGATTACTTGCTTACTTACACTTCTCCGAAAACTTCCTCTTTTATGGTCAAATGCCTCAAATCAAACCGAGAAAAGTTATCACCACCGAAAATCTGTTCTGAATTTGTTTGGACATCACAATAAATGGGTTCACCAACTCTCTGCTCAATATTGTTGTTATCGTCGAAATCATGCTTGATGTATACACTAGCGACATCATGCGCGTTAGTAGAACTAGCAACACACAACGGATTAACAGAAAATTCATCGCACACGCTACTTGCATTTGCTTGGATTTCGGGACAAAGGCTGTCCCGGCTCGAAATCGGCGTTAGGTACGGGTTGTACTCGTACCGAGAACGATCAGGGGTGAATGGTGATGTGCGATGGAGGAATTGGGGGGAACTGTACATGGACAGGGGTTTGCGGGGGCGGCTCCTCGAGGGGCGGTTTCTGTGGGGCAGGGAGGTGGTGGTGCGCGGTTGGAGGTAAATGGGAGGGAAGTAGATGTCGGATAGGAAGTCGTGGCCCTGCAAGAAACGAGAAAGAAATAGTAGTTCAGACCCATCACCAGTGTTAATCAGGAAGAATAAATATACATGTGCAAGATAATAATATTGCATAGGTGATCTATAACTTACAGTGGAGGTGAAATAAATCAGGAAAGGTGGAAGAAGTTACAGTCACAGCTCGGCCACATGAAAATAATTCAATATTGACCAGAGCTCATGACAAATGGATATTTTTCGAAGGATTAATCCTTCATCATCAGCAACAATTAGTTGAAAAGAAGATCTGTAGGTAGAAAACGATGCTTATGTTAGTTCTTAAACTGTTTAAATTCCCCTACCATTGTTGGTGGAAAATGAAAACTACAGAAATAACCTTATAAAACACTTTGTAACCGCGTATAGTGCGAGTGAGCTAATGTTAAGGAGCCATATCAATTGAAGCTTCATGAAAGCCTAGCATTTCAGAACTTTTTCAAAAAAGTTGATGATGAAAGATTAATCCTTCGGAACATGTCTATTTGTCCATAACCTATGGTCAATACTAAATTGTTTTCAGATGGTGGAGTTGTGACTGTAAGTTTTTTCACCTTTCCCAATATTGAAGGAATTGATATATGGAACTGTAGAAGTAATAACATACATTTAAATATATTCAAGTACCTACTAATAGAATCTAGTTCTTCACCACAAACACTATTTCCTGACATTAAAAGTGGCTTTTTAATAACACTCCACAGGCAGAAAAGGTGTACTTTCACTGCCTAGGCAGAAAAAGTTTGTTGCTATGCAACGTTCTAAGTAATTTGAATCAAATTGGTAATCAAAATTGACAATGACTTTGGGTGAACACAAATTGATGGATTATTCGGCTACGCCTTGGCTATGGAACGCCAACCGCGGCATTAAATCTTGTACTTTTCTGCCTAGTAGAACAAATAACTATTATCCTTTATTTTTTTCCTTTCAGTGCTCACGAAGTTGATTTAACCGAAAAACAATCATTATTTATCACTGCCTATATTGAGAACCTTCACAAATAATGCACAAAAAATATGGAGAAAGAAGCGTTTGTTATACTTCAGATAAATAACAAGTCAATACATTTGATGTAGATAGCTTTCCGAGTCAGCTTCGTTTCAACTGTTTCCAACCGTTATTGTCAAATTCACAAAATAGTTTGGGTTATCACGAAATCTCAATAACATGACCTTATTATTGAAGCATTTCAAAATCACTTTTGTGAAGAACAGAAAAGTTTACAGACATTTCATCTTACCTTGCTCTCGGACATCCAGAGTGCTCCGCTCTGTTGTTTATCAATAATTTCCCTGACTTTCCTATACCAAGTGTCGGTATTGTCGTTAAGGGTAATCATGGCACTGAAAACGTGGCTCCATACTTTATCTAACTTTTGGCACTGCTCCAACAACTTTTTCGAACTCTTGTGGGCTGACCTGAGAAGACAAAAACCTATTCAATAATTTTACAACAACTCGGTTATTCTGTAACTACAGTTGGTAAAGCCCAGACAGACAGACGAGTTCAACCAGCGTTGAGATAGATGAAAATATATGTTTTCCTCTTCTGTCTTGGTCTTGAGAGTCCCAAAGTAAAATGATGATAATTTTATGTTAGTAACTCAAAATATCAGAAGAATAGGTACTATTCTGATTTCAACAAAAAAAAGTTAATAGAATGTTATTCTTTGTCCCATGTTTTATAGTACCAATGATTCGATTATTCTTTATGTTGAATAATGGTACTATCGCAGTCACCATCCTCACTTTCTCCCTCTTATTTACGCGAAAACTACAAGAGTTCCTTATTTTCTGCAAACAATCCACCCTCAAATTGACTTGTCAGATTGATGTAGCGTAGCACCCTGTATTATGTAGGTTCTATGAAGAACTAAAATAATGTACAGGCTGGCCAACTAACAATGCGACGTACTGTGTCTGGAAAACTATCCATCGTAGAGGCTTGCAGTCAAAAAAGTTAAGTGTCACTAAAACGGCCAAGAAAAAAACTTTTTTTTATGTTCTGGTTCCCACGAAAAGGGATATCCTGTAATGTGCAGAGAACATCGTGAGAACCAAGGAAAATATCTTCTCTGGTCTTAGGTTGTGTCTGAAACAAGATGTCCTTTAACCGAGCTCATTAATAAGAATAAAGACAAGTTAAGTTTGGTGATCGCAGATGCTATGGAAACGGACCTCCTCTTCCAATCCACCGTTGTTGAAATACTGCATCAATATGCTCTCTCACAATAACAGCCGCAGTTTTGTCTACCCATGAGAGGCTCAGCAATGCATAGAGCGTGATGGGAGCGTAATAGTCAGCAATCTGGGCATTTACGGGGGCATAAAAAACCTTTCTTTTTAAAATCGCTCGTTTTTAGGGCTGTTATAAAGGTGTCAAAAAGTATAGCCAAGAGTCGGAAATCGGATGGTTTATTCGCATCTTCAATCACGTCGAAAACAACGGATTTGTTTTTTTTAGATTCTATATTATTCGAAGTGGTAAAGGTGACTTCTTTATAAATGATGAATGAAGACCCATAACAAGGGCCACAACTTAACTAATAAAAAAAATCAATTAGTTTAAAAAAATAAATATTCAAGGGATTTCCGTATACAATTTTCTTTGGCCTAAATTTTAGGTTAGGAACAAAACATCCAGATGCGATTTTCGCGAGCTTGCTTAGGCATCATTTAACAATTTTTTTATGAAAAAAATCATATCATAACGTTTGTAGCTCAGGAATAACTGTTTTCTATTAGTCTAGTGAAAATCAGCTCAGCCGTTTCGGAGATACAGGGAGTTTTTTACGGATATCTTTGAATACCCCACCACCACTTTATTTGCAGAGATAGAGCAAAAATTGACAAGCGAAGAAGGCTCGGATTATCTCGATTTCAGATCAGGTATTTTTTGTAGTTTAATATAGCAAAAATCACAGCAACATCACTTTTTTAGATTCAAGATTGCAGTTACCCGCCCTAGCGGCAATTTCAGAATCTTCAAAATATTTTCCAGATTTTCCTCGCGTCCGTTGTAGTGATAACTTTTTTGCCGCAAGTTTCTACGATGTATAGTTTCCCAGATACAGTACTTACCTCGCATTCTTAGTTACCCACCCTGTACTACTTGTACAGTACAAATCTACTTACTTTGGTAGACCTTGTCTCAGTTGTTTCACCACTATCTTGGTTTCAGCCTTGAAGAATACCACTATGGGATACATTTGTGCATAGTTGAGTCTTTCGACTGCATTCGGTGTAATATCTAACAGAGCATGCTTCCCAGTGGCTATCACGTCTCTTATGGCAGATAATCTAATGATATTGGAATTTGATGATGTTTTGTTGGATTTGCTATTGCTCTCCTCAGCTGTGACATCTAATTCTGAAAAAATCGAAAATGTCACACACACACACAGAGGCCCTGGCAAAATTCAACAAACGTATGTGTATGGTGTACTGTAGTATTCATGGAAAAATGTATTTTTTAATCAATAGCCCTACCTAGAACCCACCAGAAATATCAGACCCATTGATGTTGAGTGAGTGTACAAAACTGGAACTGAATATATATGAATTGTTTTTCTAAAATTTCTACATGGAACATGGACCCATAGTCGTAAGTTCATGACAAGATTTTCATGAGAATAAAAGTAATGCGCCTTCAAACTACTTCGTAGTGAAAAGAATAAAGTACACCTTGATAGGAAAGAATATTGTTATAATACGTCCGGTTTCGGTCTTCAGACTCAAACATTCAGTGCACAATTTATTCAAGAAACACTGCACTTCTACACGATAAACCATACAAAATCACAGTTAATCTATTTACAAACTCGTTAAACACATTCGACTGTTCTGTTAATACACTCTCGCTCTCTGAATAATACTATGTACTGATCGGGGGGCAGCATCTCGCCATTTATATCTGACATAAATTTTTCTAGCTCCAGAAAATATCGCTGTCATTTGGAAAACGTTTCTCAATATTCGATGTAAACGTTCATTGTGTTGAAAAATTCAATAAGTTTGGTCAATCAACAGTATCAACACCAGTGGTGGGAAATTCGGTGTTGCTCCTTTAAATTCACCTAGTGGAAAACCAATCCATTGTCAATTGTTATAGGTGAATTGTTGGCTCATTATTTTCAGATAATCTTAAGAAGTTAGATATGCAGTTAAGCCTTCCAATTTTCGAATACAACTATTTGAATCGTTGGTTTCTGGTTTCTCCTCAACAAAGTTAGTGATATCTAGCCACATAGAAATAGTAAAACATCAGGTAAAAGACATCAGATGTTTAATGATAATTTATTCTTATTGTCATGGCGTCCTTTTGTCAAGAATGGATCGAAACTATAATTTTATTGGGAATATTTGAAATTCTCATTTCATTTAAGGACAGTACAATAATCTGGTTTATAGATCATATACATAGAATTATTCAGCTTACAGGATATCAGTAGAGAATTACGATATTCAGAGGAAATTATAGTTTTGATGTCAATTTTATTATTATTCAAGTAAAGTTGCTGACGCACAGAAACTGCTGGTTTTGGATTATTCCCAATCGAGGTGAATACACTAGTTTTTATGCTGAATCAATTACCACTACCTAAACCGACATGAAAAAGTATTAACGAAAAACCGGCAGTTGTGGTTCGGACAGTGGACCGTAAAGTATAGGTTTTCAAATTGGCTAACAAAAAGTTATTCTCAAACTTTTTTGCATCATGTCTAAACTTAGCGAGTGGCAGTTCCAATCCCCCAACAAAAAGCGAGCCCTTCTGTAAGTACGTTTTTTAATATTATTAGTTTTAGTTTACCTGTTTTGTTTTATTTGAGTTGGATATGTATCTTGCTGGAAAATTAGTCAATGTATTTCATGCCCGAATTGTTTTTATACAAGATGAATAAAATTGGCAAGTGGAGTTAACTTCTTCAATTATAATTTCCGTAAAACCTATTGCAAGCGAGTAAGTTCGAGTTACGATAATGGGGGTTGGAACCCACTCGTGATACTATTTCAGAAGAATGATATTGGTATAAATATTTCACATATTTTTCCAGTGAATATAGAAATGGAAACCTCGAAAACAAGAGTTATACTCAAAAAAAGCAATATTATCACGGACCTTACACCTATCGGATAAAGCCTCTGGATATATGATTCAAGGTTTGAGAAACATGTTACAATGAGAATTAGAACAGCTTATGCTTCTCTTAAACTTTGGTATCCTCATAGACATAACATGAATCCACTTACAAAGAGAATGCTAAGCGATTCTCTGGTGTTGTCTCATTTCAATCATTCTGATACAGTATATGGACCTTTTTTACGCAAATCAGATGCATATCGCCTACAGGAAGTCCAAAATTCATGTCTTCGTTTAATCCATGGAATAAAAAAAAGAGATCGTATATCTCATAAACTCAAGGAAATGGGTTGGTTGAGAATGTACAATCGTCGTAGACTTCATTCGTATTGCCTTTTCTATAAAGTACTGAAAACTAAACAGCCAGAGTATCTCTTCAGAAAAATCACGTATAGGACTGATATTCACAATTTAAACCTGAGAAGAAAGCATGGTATCTACATACCTTCGCATAATAAAGAAATCTGTAAGTCATCTTTTTCCTATCAGATTGCAACTGTGAGCCATTCTTTGGATATACCGAATTTCTTCCTATCATTGAATCCATTTCAAAACAAATTTAAGAAAAAATTCCTTTCACAGCAGTGATACGAAAAAACGAAGAAAAAAAGTGAATCAATAGTAGTTGATTTATTATATATTATTATGATAGAGTTTATCTTCTGAAAATAATATCGCATCGATATACATTTACTTGAAAGACATAACTTATATTATTAGTATTCTTATTGTTTTGATTTTGTTTCTAGGGTAGTGTTGAAGAATCTTTCCACTGACCTATCACTTCACCTTTTGTTTGCCATCTATACCTTTTATTTTGTACTAAACATGGAATTTGTGATTTTGTTCATTGGCAGACAATGAACGATTATTATTAATATTATTATTATTATTAATCTTGGTCACTTGGTAGGAGTGATATTCTCTACTAGATGGGTGCACAAATAACTTTATCAATACTCACGTGGTGAAATGAACTTATCCGGATAATCCTTCAACAGCTTCTCCCTCGCCACATCCGCGATCGGTCCAAAAAGTATCACAGGCCTGGTGAATCCGGGATGCTTCAGCAGCACCCGCTCGTACGCCGGGAACTTGGAGACGGTGTCGGAAAACAAAATGTCGTCCCAGTGCTCCTTCCCGAGGCTCTTCGACCGCCGATTGGAGCTGCGCCGCCTCTTGAAGAAGCTGCCTCGCGACTCGTTGGCCGACATTTCCTTTTTGGTGGCGTTGAATTGGGCGGTGGCCAGTTCTTCAGCGCGGGACTTGTTCGGGATGATGCCCTTCTGGACCTCTTGATTGTTGCGCCCTATGAACAGCAGCTTTTTGCAATCAAATCTCCCACAACACGTGGCAACACTGTCAACGCTACCTTGCATAGCACTGGTTAGAGTGAGTCTGAGTAGATCAAGGCTGTGTCAAGTCATTCGTTCGACCACAGTGGTGATACCAGATTGGTCAATGGTTGACTCGACTGCCATCGAAAAGTTAACGTGGTATCATTGTGGGCAGGTTTGATATTCCCAAACAGCTGGTTAGTCAGACTGATGATCAGACTTCACACTGAACGTATGTGCTTGGTCAAACCACATACTTGACACAGCCTAAATAGAGTGGCGACAATAGACCTCAACATGGCTGCCTTTTCGGATTGAAAAGGAATATTCTCAGATATATTTATGAACACAAAAAATGGATATATATATATAAAGAAATACATTGAGAATTCGCATTCTCCATGTGATGAAAATATTGATTCTTTCTCGGTTTATTCAACAGAAAACAACTACTTTCCTGACTATATGCCACGACGAATATTGAATTACATCTATTGAACACCGACGATAAGAATTTGGAAACAAATGAATCTTCTGAAGTAGAAAATTTGCATTCTCCTTCATTCGTGATCAAGTAACTGAATAGCTGAAAATCGGAATGGTATCTCATTTGCAGTAATGAAATTGCGCCTTCAAAGTGCACACCTGATGGTTTTTTATGTATAATTTATTTATTTCAGTTATACCATTACATGTCTCTTCGATATTACAATTTAATACAAAATACATATTATATAAAGTATAATTAATTTCTGAGTAGGAATGACCTAAATGATCAGACAGTAATTCCTCGAATTAGATCATTCATGAATTATTATTGACTGTTTGTATAAATAAAATTACAATTCGTGAACAATACAAAACTGGAAATTCATTAAGTCTCAGCTTTGATCATTTCTTTGCATCAGAATATATTTCTTCACTTTATTTTTGAACTGTATAATATTTGGGCTGTTTTCAATATCATCTGGTAGTTTTTGAATTTTGAGTTCGCCTCATGTGTGAAATTTTTTGTCTAAGTATAGAATTCCCAGCTTCAAGATGAAACAAGCTATATTGTACAGTGTGATGACCATGAATTCGGGAATTCCTTTTCAATGTAAATTTGATTAAATTTTTTTTTCTTCAAGAGTATTGATTAAATTGTGCTCTTTCAAAGATAATGTGTTGTGTCTTTTTATACAGTCGATTTGTTGGAGATGAAAGACGATACAGTACTTTCAATGCATTATATATAGAACTAAAATTTTGTTGGAACAATTTTTAGAAAAAGATGCCCACATATTTATCAGATGGTTAATTCGACTGAGGATATGTGAATAGAGATCGAATAATATTTGATGTATATGTAGTAAGTTTAGGAAATCTTCTTAAAGCATCAATAATGGAAAATATTTTCTCTCCGATTGGCAGCAAATATTAATTTTGCTGACACATATCAATCAGCAAAGTATTACTTTTCCTGCCTAGGCAGCAAAGTGGGTACTTTGCTGATCGATATGTATCAGCAAAATTAATAATCCATAAATTGTTTATAATTTCCTTCATATTTCATTCAAGACTTCTCCGGCAACAAATTCGACTCTATATTTTTTGCCACCTCCCTTATTTCTGGAGGTGTAAGTACTTCCAGGTCGCTATCACTGTCCATTATATAATAATTTAAATATACCGATATTTTTTCGCAAAACTGTCAGAATTTTCATGAATTGTCAAACTATAATTATCATGGATAACTGCGATTTCTATCAAATTTCATTTTAATTGAACACTACAGGAAAAATAAAGAGATTGTGGGAATTGTAATAATTTGCAATTACAATATCCTCCTATATCATTATGAACAATCGGAGAAAAAATTATATGTTCAACTCGGCAGCAAGGTAGATTGACTGCCTTAGCTGAATTCCTAGCCTCGCCACGCTCGGCTATGAATTCAGCCTCGGCAGTCAATCTACTTCTTTGCTACCTAGTTAAACAAATAACTATTTCCTGCCCTGTCTCTTTTGCGTCCTATCTCTAGATGCTCCTTATCAGCACTATTATTGCATTCGTGCAACATCACCGTTATACTCTTCAGGTCCCGAAAGAAGGAAAACACATTCTTGAATGTCTAGTTCAACTTCATAATATTCTGAACGCATTTTGAAATCTTCCAAGAAATTGTCTATTGTTCACGCCATCTATCATCGAAAATTAGAACCCCAAGTTCCGAACTCACATTCAATTGTTCATATCGAGAGCTAGTCTGACGAAACAATTGAAAAGTAGGCACACCAGAGGAATTATAAACATATGAACTTGTGAACATCCAAATACTTTGTGGTGTCGCCACGTTTCTTACATCAACTTATAGATTTATAATCGTTAGGCTGAGTTTCTGACACTTATGTTATGATCAGGGGCGGAGTATAGTACAAGCCCGAAAAGCCAGGGCTTGTAGCGCTAAATCCCAGAGGGCGCAAAAAATTCCGAATACTTTGAAAAAATAATTGGATCAGAAATTAAATTATATATTTCCTCATGTGGGTACTTTATACTATGATACTTATCTTATACTATACAACATATTTTTGAAATCTCACTGATTGCGAAGTAGCAACTATATAACAGCCCCCGTAACTAGTTCTCCTCCTAAAAGTCATTACGCATACATGGCAACATTTGGCAACGCTACTCAGTATCAGCGGCATGTTTAGTTCGAGCATGTTCCAGACATATATTCGGGGAATACCAGGACACAGAAATATTGCAGTTTTGCACTTCGCGCTGTTATACATTTGCAGATATCATTGTGTTAGATTTGCTATGATAATATTGTGTTTTTTTCGTATTTTCGTCATGAGCGGCTTAAATAAAAAATTAAGTGCCGCTGAATATCGAAAAAAGCTAGAAATAAGGCAGAACATGAGCAAAGCAGTTACTTACTGTTCAGGAGAAAGATCTTTCTGGACACTCAAGAGAATTACAAATTATTTGAGGTCGAAGTTATTGGATTCCAAACTGAGCGACTTAATGACAATAGAATCAGACCTGCTCAAAAATCCAGAAGTAACAGTTGATAGGAAGTCTTAAGGTTGTTGAAAAATAGTTTGTTAATGTTGTTTAACTATTTTTCAGTGTCTTATGTGATTTTAAATAAAATATGTATACCACTGTCGCCAGTTTTGTGTGTCTCATATATAAACTGAATGAAACATTGAGAAGGGGGAGGGGGGGGCGTGAAAATATGCGTGGGTTTTGGACGCCTTCGAATGATAATCCGCCCCTGGTTATGATGGGTATATTAGTATGTGATGAAACTCATTAGTAAGTTATTTATGCCGAATTAAGATGTTTTATCGGATAAATTCTCTTGAATTGTCGATTTGCTAGCAGTTCCACAGAGATCCTTTGAATGTGATGTCATTTACACGAAAGAAATAACGAAATAAATCGATCTTTTGAACTATTTACTATGACGACTTGAGACTTCTTACCTATCCTGAAAACTTGCCAACATCCCACCACACCATTGTAAAGAGTGTCGATGACATGGAAAGTGTCGCCCGATCTGAATGACATTTCACCTTTGGCAGGACTTTCATAATGGAAATGAGTTTTGACATAGAAACTGTCGCCCTTTTGGGAAGCCACTATATTGTCATATTCTTCTTTACAAAATTGCACTATCAGCTCTATTCGGTCTTGTAAGCTGAGTAAAAAGAGCACAGCTTCTTCACGAGTCACTCCAGTCATGTCCATGTCATTTACCTAAAAAAAGTAATATACAAGTATGTATCGATTATTAAACATTGGGGATCAAGAATGCCCTTGATAGCATAATCCATTTCTGCTAAAGTTAGTCAGTTGTAACTTCTGAATTGAGAATACCCAATCATGAATTTCTGATTAGAGATCTGTAAAAGTAAATTTTCATCATTCAAGTTTGAACCTCTTGAATATCCTCAGATATAGATTTCTTTATGCTCTCATTTTGTTTTCATGTTTGTAATAATTTTTGAGAATATTCCTTTTATTGTAACGCTACTAAAGTTCATTGGACCACCTCCAATTATTGCGTTGGGTCAGGTGTGTTATATCCTGATCACACATGATGCATCGAAAATAACTTCCAAAGTTGTAATATTGAATTCGATGCAGGTTCAAGTTTAACAAATCGTTGAATAGGTCCTTGGATTGCGCAGAATCAGGTGAGCATCAAATTCAATCCGAAACAAAATCTGGGACAGTTTTGAAACCAGGCGTTTCCCGAAAATATGCTGTCTGAATCGAGGGCATATTTAGGTTAGAACAATGTTGATGTTATCATGAAATAATCCCAAAATTCAAGTCCTGAACATAAACCTTCCCCACTAAAATATTCATACACTTATACATACATATACCAAAAATGTTCCCTGTATTATTAATCTACAGATTCATTCATTCATTCTCCAGATTGGTATTGAGGATTTCCAGCAGAAAACATGTTCAAATACGTTTTTTATCATCTGAACTTAAAGATAGGACGATGAGCTGAAGCTCATATGTCCATTGTTCATAATCTTGATTTTTTAAAAATAATTCATGCATTCTTCATCTTGTTCAAAAGTGTATTCAAGACAGTCATGAGCAGTTCCTGCCCAGAGGATCATACTGCTTTGGACCGATTCGAAACTATCCCAAACTAGTTGGTATGAAACGAAAACACGTGATCTGTGGAATACGAAACAGTCCTGAGAAAATGCGAACACTTCTTTTGTTACAGCGCTTACTTTTGATGGTTTCGGACTGTTAATGCTGGTGTTTGAACAAATTTCAATTAAAAAACTATCAAATGTAATCCTATTGTTGTCATATGTCAGTGGATGGGCTCAGTAAAGTTTAAAGTAAAGTTTACGATTGTAGCATAAGATTCAACTAAGCCTGTTAATCACCGAGACCGGCTAACCGAGGCCGATTGGGGACCATTCCTGTTACTGAGATATGTAATTTATGTAACAAGAATAAAAGTATTAAAAAAAAGAAAAAAAAATGTGAAAGCGAACAAAACTAATAAGGTGGGATACAATTATTCAAGATGGATTCCTTCTGATGAGTTGTTGAAGGTTCTGTCAAAGATTTTGTCGAAACAGTCATCATGAAAATGCGAGTGAAAATGTAACGAATGCTTGAGGTGAATGAAAAAACTACTCTTTTGTTACACCAAATTCCAATTTCTATGAAAACTTACTTTTAAAATTTTGTCTCCAGGTTGCAACCCTTGTAAGGAGGCAGGACTTCCTGGTTGGACAGCTGTTACAAAAATACCGACATGGTTCCCACCTGTCAGTCTAATTCCTACAGAGCCTTCTTTATGGAATGTGATGAATCTAGCATCAGGACTGCAATAAAAAATAACAAATATATGCACAAGAGAGAAACTGTTCAAATATATGTAGAAGAGTACAGGAACAAGCGTTCAATTTAAAACATGCGATGAGGTATTTAGCAAAGTTTTAAATTTTCTTTATGACAAATCTCTTAACATTTTACCATAGACGAAAAAATATTTTCTCGAATGAAATTCTGAAAATGAACGCGAATTATCAATTGGTTAGCTAAAACTTACATATTGTACATCGTGTGAAGTCATTAACCTCTACACTTTTGAATCGTTGAACAAAAAAATAAAAATTAATAAAACTAGTAAATGGTTCCATGATGTGAAATACTTTTCTAGCGAAGAGAATATAATCTCGAAACAAAATGGCTCTATTCAGATTCAAAAACCACAAATGATATAAGGAGTCTTACAATAGTCTGAAAAATCAAACTGGCAGCGTCTTCATTAAAAAGTATAGTAAACGATTATTTTTTAACCGCTCCAAAGTATTGTTTTTGCTGGTGGGGTAGTCACATCATCTAATTTCATCATTTCGAATTTGATTAGGTAGGTACTTTTTGTTGAACGATCCTAAAGTCAGAAGCGGGGGTAGTGATTTTAGGAGAGCACTGTATATCGAATTTTATACGTTTTGTGTGATACCTACATTGGCTGGTTTGTTTTTTGAATGATTGGGTCGTCTTCATAAATTTGCCTTCTGCTACTATAATAATCTGAAACAAAAAAACAGAGATTTTTTTATTTTGTATTCGAAATAAGATTTTTCTCTACTCTGTATAGATTTCTTTTTCATCTATCTTAGTAAGAAAATGCGAATCTACGTTGATTATGGTATTCATGGCGATGAAATACCAAACTTGGACCTAGTACCCAGTTAACACAGATTGATGCCAGAGATATAAGAGGTATAAGAGGACATCACATTCATGCCACACATCACATCCGTGACTCGAATTGAGAGTCCCACTAAAATCACAACGACTGCCATTCCGGACCCTTTTGGTCATTTTATGACTCACATTCAACATCAGAATTGATTAATTCGGTTTTATACATAAATAGACAAGAATGTGAGGTTCCAGTGAGTGTCTCGGCCTCACTAATCCAACTACATTTTATGTTTCTAATACTACGAGATGTGATGGATATTGCGAATGTTTTATGAGATAAAGAGTGCCTTGGTAATAACAATAATATTTTCTTGTGATTCGCATTGTTACCTAGCGAGACATGAATGTGACATCACAGGGATGTTTGTGTTTACTGGGTATGGACGTCCCTGGGACTCTTCACAACACTTTTTGAAGTATCAGACTTACCTCTGTTGAAAGCATGCAAGTAAGAAGAAAACATAATATAGATTGAGTGCAGAAACATTCCACCTAATGGAATCAGACTGAATGTTCTGACTGGTCAGATATAGGACAGGACGTGTAGAATGTGCACATAAATTCATCTTTATATCCTTCGAAATCGGCATCCTATGAAGATTGCATATACATCATTCGGGATAATAAAATGCCAACATTGCCAGATTCACTTCGATTTCTTCACATTATTTATTTCATTTTATTTATTTATTGAACAAATAACTTCCAGACAGAATAGGCTCTGGTATAAGGAAGTACATAATTATATACCTATAGGTAAACATATCATTATACAAAATACATCAACAACTGTAAATTGACAAACAAAGAAAGAATGACATTTGTAAAAAAAAAAAATTGAAAAAAAAAATGGCATGTTCAATTTTATCCAGTTCGCTCAGAAATAATCAATTTTTTCACTTCATTTTTGAATGAACCTATGTTTCTGCAATTTTTTATATTGTCAGGTAGTTTATTGAATTCAGTAAAGGCTGAATGAGTGAATCTTTTTTGTCCGATAATGGAGCTAGCGGCGTCAAGATGAAACAAGTTATATTGTCTTGTTTGATGATTATGAATTTCAGAATTCCGTATCAACATAAAATTCGACATCAATCTTTTATTTATGATATTATATGATATTGATTGGTTGGTGTATCAAATGGGAGACGATACAATAATTTTAACGATTTTCTATATAATGTTGATATTTTATTGAAATTGTTCTTTGAACAAGTTCCCCAAACATTTATTAAATAGTTGATACGACTCAGTATATGAGAGTAGAGAATCATGTTTGCAATTTCAATATCAAGTTTGGGACATCTTCTCAATGCACCAATGATTGGAGATATTTTTTTTTATCACAAAAATTTACTTATTGATTCATTATGACCTATTATCAAATGAATTGGCTGCCAACACCAAAGATGCCTTGTTACTACTCCATTTTATCACATTTGGCAATGTTTTATTATCATTGAAAAATAGAATGAATATAAGGTGAGTAATGAACATAGAAAAATTCAAGACTAAAAATGGACGTCCCGAAAACGTACGCCCTGTACGTCCCGAAGACGTAGGGGATGGTACGTTCTGAGGACGCCCATATTAGGTTTTGGGACGCAGGTACGGACTTGAATCGGGCGTAATATGTACGTCCTCGGGACGTCGTGTGCTGTCTGGGAGTGGATTTTCTACGCTTCCGTTCTCTACCAATTCAAGGACACTCTGGAAACCCAACAGACATCATCTACCTAGACTTCAGTAAAGCTTTCGACTGGACTGCCAAACTAGTGTGTACGCTGATGATACCAAAATATTCGGAAACCCGCTAACACACAGTGCTTCTCTCCAATCTGATTTGGATAAAATAAACCAATGGTGCGTCGACTGGCTCATCCCTCTGAATGTTGGTAAATGCTCGATTTTGCATATCGGAATAACAAATCCGGAACTCACGTATAGTGTATGTGGTAATCAGCTGATGTCCGGGAACTCGCAGGTTGACCTAGGTGTCACTGTAACTAGCGATTTAAGCTGGTCAGAACACATTCCGAACATCGCTAAGGAGGCAAATAAATCGCTTTATCTTCCCGAGAAAACATTCTCAAATCCTACGCCTGAATTAGCTAAGAAACTGTACACAACATATGTGAGACCCACGCTTGAATTTGCCGCACCAGTATGGCCTTGGCTCGTGAGAGACATTAACCTTCTTGAAAGGATTCAAAGATCAGCGACTCGTTGGCTGCGATCGATACAAAACCTACCATACGAGGAACGTCTTGAAAAACTGAAGCTTACTTCTCTTCAAACACGTCGTCTGCGTGGCGATTTAATACAAATGTATCGCGTTACACATGACTTGTTTCCTTCCCCCGAAGGAATATTGCACAAATCAGCACCGACACCCGCCTCCGAGGTCATCCATACAAAATCAAGAAAGAACAATTCAGGACATCTCATAGACTCCATTTCCTATCCAACAGAGCCTTTGAGGCATGGAACAAACTGCCAATGGAAGTAGTGTGTGCACCAAATATATCTACATTCAAATCAAGACTGGATTCGTTGTGCCTCTGAAATTCATTGACTTTTCAATTTTAGTTCTTACAAACATCCTCATTTTGTATATTGTGCTTTAATAGGCTCTTCCTCTGCACTTACTGTTTATAATAATAATAATACTGCACGTCGAGTAAAGGAAGAAGCAGAAATCGATCGTCGAATAAAAAATTAGAAGGGTAGTGCTGCACAAAGTAAGAAACACTTTCTATATCAATGAACTAACCTTCCGCCCTGGGAGGCGGCGGTCGGGGCGGCTCCTCCCTGCCCTTCCCCGTCCCATACCCGCCAGCCACGCTGTTCCGGTGCTCTGGCTGCCCCGAGCGGCCGCCCCCGCGAGGCGCCAGATTGCTCTTCTCGTCGGGCAGCGAGCTGGGTCCGCCCGCGCGGTCGGCTGCGTCTTCGAAGCCGCCCGAGAGGGCGGGGGCGGCGTTGGCTGAAGGGGCGGGGCGCGTGGGCGGCTGCACGTACAGGTTCTGGTTGGAGTAGCTGGTGTGGCCGGAGGTGAGGAATTCGTCGCCTGGAAGAGATTGGATAATAATAATAATAATAATAATAATATATGTTTATTTTACACACAAGTTAAGATACAAAAAATTTGAGCATATAAACATAGGTGGATCACAGAAGTGTATGGTAGCTGTGAGCTACCATACTACTTGTACGTGATTTGAAGTAGAACAAACATCTGTATAATATATAAATTAACACAATTAAGCTACAGAAGTGTGCATTTCAACTAACAGCTGCAATGCCACTTGTGCGCAACCCAATGTATATGTTAATAAAATGAATGAATGAATAATCATAAGAACAATGTTTGGACTATAAACAATACAATACGTGAATTTAAATATACACATAACATTAGAAAAATGGGATTGTTACTAAAAAAACACATGACTACATTGAATTTACAAAAATGTTAGTAGGTACCTAACTACTTGAACAGTATAATATAATGACTTCTATAATAATGGCTTTCTTTTTTCATTTGAATCTTTGATTAACGAAATCATGAAAAACAGACCTTTCGGTATCCATAATCCAGGTTTTCACCTCATATTTGAATCTGAATGGTGATTGTATTCTGTGAATAGACGTTGGTAATAAGCTAATTAACCTAGGTCCGAGGTAAGTGGAGTTTCTCTGACCTATAGTTTTTTCACTGCGAGGTAATACGTTATTTTTATTTCTAGTATTATGCTCATGATTTTTTGGTTCTAGAACAATGTTTCCTTTTTTTACATTTTTCAGAATACTCAAACAGAATAGTTGTCGCAAATCGAATAATTTTGTTTCCCTAAAAAGATCATTACTTGGGTGAGTACGTGCCTTTCGGAAGATTATTTTGATTAAATGTTTTTGTATTACATTGAGATTTTCTAAATAGCAGTCACTTACTCCACCCCATCCCACTATTCCATATTGTAATTGCGACTCGACCAATGCAAAATATAATGTTCTCAGCTGTTGTGGTCCCAAAAAATCTCTCAAGTATTTGAATCTGTGAAGTAGTCCTCTCAATTTATTAATAATATATTTGATTTGTAGGTCCCACCTGAGATGTCGATCTATCATAATACCGAGATATTTTATTGATTCTGCTTCAGGAATTTCGAATCTGTTCCCAATTTTTATTGGTCCCATATTTGGTAATCCACTGGAATATGAGGAGAAAGGTAGATATTTAGTTTTGGTGAAGTTTAACGTTAATTTATTGAATCGGAACCATTTCTCTATTATGCAAAAGTCAGTTTCTACAAGTTGTTTTAGTTCCTGCCATGTATTTGATTCATAGAGTATGGCTGTGTCGTCGGCAAAGCTCAAGATTTTTCCTCCAATTTCAAGATTCAATAAACTATTGATGCAAATAGTGAATAGCAGTGGTCCTAATACGGTCCCTTGCGGAACCCCATAAGAAACTGTTCGGTACTGACTATTTACTCCATCAATATTCACGCGCTGTTTCCTTCCATAGGAGATTAGATTAGAAAAAATATTTGAATCGGTTGGGGCATTGCCAAGTTATAATTGATAAATCTATTTTTTCTACCACTGCTATGAAAAGTAGGGCATTTCTCATAGCTTACTTAGTTTCGAAACCATGTATTGCCCATACTGTGAGAAATATTTTTTCTCACGGCACAAAATCGACCAAAACTTGGTTACTGTTCAGCTTTGAATAGTTGTCACAACTGTCAGAAGATGTTTTTTAAATTCTTCAGGGTAGTTCTCATCAGTGCTTTTGATAGAACTCGCATTTTTCATCAAATATCTTTCCAACAATTCATAATAAATAATATGATGTATATAACGAGATGTGACGATTTTGTTAAATACACCGCCAGAGACAGACATAATGGAAAAAGCTGCGAAAGTTGGATTTGTTTCCGGAAATTCCAAGAAAAAAGTATGAATTGGCATATTGGTACGAACAATTCATGGAATCTAAAAAAATACAGAAATAAAATCTTTTTCGGAAAGTGTACTTTTTTGAAATACTTTGAGGAACTAGGAAAGGCGTCTACTCTTTGGTCACAATATTCAATGTGGCATAGTGCCACATTATAAAATGAATACCAATAAGTTACATTAATCGAATTATTTGAATGAGTGCAGTTGTAGAAAAAGTATAGTGTGCAACATGTGGAGAAAAGCACTTTTCCACATTTACTACTATTGGAGAGTAATGTTCACTTGGGCATAGTATATTCATTTATTCAAATTTTGAAAATACCTTTGGCATACGGTAGTAGCAAGGTCTCACGTATTTTGCGACATGTTCTTCAACAGGGTGCTCAATTTTGCATTTAGAATTTCGCAAGATTCAGATGACACTCATTAGAATTTTTCAAATGGAGCACCCTGTATTTTCATTCACAAATTCATTTCGACAAGTTATGGATAATTTAATTATTTTTACTACTATTTCGGAGTAATTTGTATGTCATAGTTCTTTCATTTATTTGTAATGTGGAAATATTGCGTTGCTACAGTATATTCAAATTTCTTCATTGACCATTCATATATTTTTTCACAATAGGAACATTCACAGGCTCTCGAAGTTTGAATTTAAAACAGAGTGGGTTTTGACAAATTCATTCAAAATGCTACTTTACCAGATTTTTTGCAGACTATGAATTAATTTCATGAAATACACTTCCATCAAATCGAATAAAGGAACAATGCCTTACAAGTAGCCCTGAGACAGTGATAAACATAAGGAGATTACTCATAACTTGAACTTCTTTTTCGGCGATGAAAAGGCGAATGATGTCGAAATAAATTTGTGATAAAAAATACAGGGTGTTCTATTTGTAAAATTCTAATGAACGTCGTCTGAATCTTACAATATTCTGAATGTTAATTTTAGCATCCTGTAAAGGATGATCTCGCACAATTACTGGATTGGTGTACGTGGGACCTTGTTACTACTGTATGTCAAGAATATTTTCAAAATTTTGATAAATGAATAAACCATCCCCAATTCAACATGACCCTTCAATAGTAGTAAAAATGGGTTTATCAATTATAACTTGGCAACGCCTCAACCAAATTCAATTTTTTTCATAGCGATGTAGAGATCAACCTTAGCGGAATAAATTTCGAATAAAAAATACTGGGTGTTCTATTCAAAAAATCTCGTGTCCGAGTCGTCCCGCTTTTATAAAACACCCAGTATTGTTGAAAATATTTTTGAAATGGGAACCTTCAATAACGGAAGTAATTTGTTTCCATAAGTTTTTCTCTAGTGATAATAAATGGACACACTGTATATGCCTCTGAAGCATCCAAGGAATATTCCAATGTGAATTTCCAGCAGGAATATTCAGAAGTGAATATTCTCTGAAAATTCTAGTTGGATTGTTCAGGTAACAATATTCCAGGAATATACCCAACTGAATATTTTGTGTTGTATATTCATGAAATATTCTCAACTGAATGTTCTGTGTTGTACATATACCATGAATATTCCCAAGTATAATTACATTGAACATTAATTATATATGAGGATATTGTGAAACGAAAAGTGTTTCAATCCGATTCTGAACAACGCTCTTACAAGAAATTGATATGTACAACATTATTTCATTCGATTTTTGGTCCAGTGGTTAAGGCGTTGCTCTGATAATCTGGAAGTCATGGATTTGATCAGGGCCTACTCTGGTGAAATAGTCTTGGGTTACTTTTTTTATTTTAAAATATGTTAGTTGGAATATTCCAGGAGCATTCAACATGGAATATTCTTTTGGGCATATTCTATGAATATCTGAGGAATTCCCATTTATATTGTTAGAGAATATTCCACAGATTTCTAGAATATTCCAGATTATTCCTAGGGTATACCAATATTTCATAGGGAATATGATAGGAAGATTCATGGAATATCTGGTACTGTCTGGGTTGCATAACCCTATCAAACCTGGTATCGTTGAATTCGTCATGATAATCCCTAACCGATAATGGAATACAATACAGGGTGTCCCACTCAAAAATCAAAAGTTGGGGTCGTTTTCGATGAAACTGGAAGCGATAGAAGAAAAATGGTTTCATCAATTAATGAGCGATTTGGTATACTTGCTACCCACCAATTTTCAAAACCCTATCTGGAATAATTCAAAAGTTATAATCCTGGCCGTTTTTTGTGCACTTTACTGTATAGTTATACTCACCTTTGTAAAAATTGTTGACAGCACCTGTTGTGCTGATGGAACTTTGCGCTTGATGGGACACATTGGAATTGAACGCCACTTCCCTAGCCACCGTGATCTGTAATTTGTCCTTCGAGCCATCTATGATCTTTTTGGCCTCTTTCAAAGACATCACATCGTTGCAGTTGGTGTTGTTCAGTTTGGTCAGCAGGTCTCCGATTTCCAGCGATTGGTTGGTGTTCAGCAGTTGATCTCTTGCTCTCGGCGAAATCTCTTTGATGAATAGTTTGCATCCTAGGACGATCCCAAAATCTTGAAACAAAATGAAAACTGTATTATAGAGGGTGTTCCAGAATATTTGCGAAATCTTCCGTATTCAGATGGAATACATATAAATAACATGAAAAGTTCCTGTTCATTTTTTCCAACGACATTCCTTTTTTTCTTGCATGTTGTTAGGTTATGTTACAATAGTATGAAACCAAGTTTGCATGGCTTCGAAAGACCTAGTCTAAAAATGTGGTGCTCAAAAAACTTCCAAGTAGTTCGACTGATTTCGGTTTGTAGCTCAAAAGTCCTATCAGGTTTTCTGTTTCGGGCCAGGAGCTATTTCACTTCCAGTCAGCTGCTTATGATCTATAAGGCACAGTTCCCATCTGTCCTGGAGTGCTGCACCCAAACATACCCTGAACTGTTGGATTCTGACCAAAAAAGGGCAATTCGTCTCGTGGGAGATGCCTCGCTCACAAACTCACTCACCTTTCTGGAACACAGTAGAAAAGTTGTCGATCTGGCTCTATTTCATAGATATTTTCATGGACGATGCTCTTCTGAAATATCAACAATTGTTCCTCATTTGGCAGTTCCCGCGAGATTAACCCGTCAAGTTGAGGCTTCGCACCCCTTCGTGGTCACTGTGGAGACCTGCAGAACATCTCTTTCCAAAGACTCATTCATCCAACGAACAGGGAGGCTCTGGAACACATTGCCAAAGGAGGTGTTCCCCGAGGCATATAACCTCCAGAAATTCAAGAAGAACACCAATTCCTACCTTATTTTCCTTGGTTCTCACGATGTTCTCTGAACATTACAGGATAACCCTTTTCGTGGGAACCAGAACAAAAAAGGCGACTTCCTAAAGAAAAAGCCACTCAGTCCTATTGAGAAGCTGAATAAATTCAAGCCGATATTTTGCTCACAAGAAGATCAGAACTGCAATTTTCAATTTTCAAAAAAAATAAACTCTTTGAAATCCTGTATCTTGGGATTTAAATCATACTCGAATTGTCGAGAATTTATCCAGCTCCAAAAAAGTCTGAATTTTTCTTTAGGATACCGCCTTATAGGACTTTTGGGCTAAAAACCGAAATTAGTCGAAAAATGTCGAGGTATTTTGAGCAGTACAATTTTATCCTAGGTCTTTAGAAGCTGCAAACTTGGTTTTATACTATTGGGACATAGCTTAACATCATGCAAAATAAGGAATGATTGAATTTATGCGAACTTTGCCCTGTTTTTTGTCTAGGGTTAGCGGCCTAACACCCCTGGAAGTCTTCATGTTAATACTTGGCTATCTTATATTATCAATCAACGTAATGAACTAATAACGTTTCACTCGAATTTTATTACATATCTCATTTTCTAGTAAATATTCGGTTAAGTTTCTTGAGGATTCTGAAAGAGCAACACGAAGATTGATTCAAGAAACATAGACTATGACTTAAAGATCTGCCTAGAACAGTGAGATAGAATGCAAACGCTAAAATATAAGGATCTAGCCGTTACGTTCCCAGTAAACCATTTTGTGTTTCTGAAACGTTCCTGAAACAAACTTTGTGAAATATGAAACATTTCACCTATATACTCCGAAACATTTATGAGACATTCTAGAGACCATAAATGACCTAGGGTGTGTAATGTTTCATTGGAATGTTTCAACCCAAATCTCCACGAAACATTCAATAAAGAGTATACATAAACATCTCTGAGATATTCCACTATTGTATTTCTATTTGCAACATTTCCAACATGACTTTTTTGAAACATTTCCGATACATCTCACTTTTGCTATTAATGGAACATTTCGAATATGAAACCATTTTTAGTTCATACCAAGAATACATTACCACAGAAGTTAATCACTTACTCATAATGAAAGTGAAACCTAATTAACATCATGTGTAATGTAGTCAATTGGTATTAATATAGGTATATGGAGAAAAAAGCAGGGTGAATAAAATAAAACTGCAGCTTTTGTGGATTTTATATTAAGAAAATGTATTAAATTATAATAAAAAACCATTTCATTTCATATTTTCCCTTTCTCTAGCTAACCTGAGACCAGATTGGCGGAAGCAGGCTGCTACATATCTTTCGAACTCCACGTCCGTCACAGCAAACCTTTTTCTGACAGCACCTGAAAAAATTTTGAGATTTATTTGATCCACTCACCCACTCACCTTTTTCATATTCGTAGTTTTCATTATTAACTTTCAACATTAGCACTACCACCATCAGGCAATATCAATGGACGCTAAAAATGGCTTCACCGGAATTAGAACAACAAAAGAAAGAATGGCTTCGTCTTTGTGTTCACCCACTCTCTTCTCGGACTGGACAGTCGGAGCAAGTCGGAGCCGGCCGTGCTTGGTTCGGACTGTCAAATGCCGATGTTGCCAGAGTAACCACCCATCTTCATTGGTCACACTCAAGCATGAGATTCATTATAGCCAATAAAACGGAATCATAAACCTGGCAACGTCGAATATGATGCATTTCAAACACATGTATTGAAACATGCCATGCAGAGATGTTTCACGTCACGCATAACATTTGAGAAATATTTCACATAGGTACGTAAACATGGCGATGTTTCAGATGACACGTCTAGAGATTCACGTGAGACATTTCAAGTAGAGAATTTTTGTAACAAATATGAAACGTATATGTAGTGACATATTTCTGAAATATTTCACATAGCATGGAGAGCTTCAGAAATTTTTCCTTTATGTTAAAATTGAAATGTTTCAGATGACGCGTCTAGAGATTCACGTGAGACATTTCAAGCAGAGATTTTTTGTAACGAATATGAAACGTATGTAGTGACATATTTCTGAAATATTTCACATAGCATGGAGAGCTTCAGAAATTTTTCCTTTATGTTAACATTGAAATGTTTCAGATGACGCGTCTAGAGATTCACGTGAGACATTTCAAGCAGAGATTTTTTGTAACGAATGTGAGACGTATGAATTGACATATTTCTGAAATATTTCTGAAATATTTCTGAAATATTTCACATAGCATGGAGAACTCCAGAAATATTTCCTTTATGTTAACATTGGAATGTTTCAGATGACACGTATTAGGGAACTTTTGAAATGTTTCTGAAACGTGTTGTGTTTACTGGGTTAGGTAGGTCTAACAGCGATGATGAAGGGACTACATCAATAATGCACCCAACTTGAAAAATAAAATAATAGGAACATTCCTGTTGCCTAAAAAATCAGCCAGTAAGTATTTTCAGTTTCCTTGATAGGATTTTGTACCCAATCGTTTGTTAAACTCGAAACAGTAATTTTCCAGTAGTTACAAACGTTTAGTACCCACCTTCCTTTTTAGAATTTTTGGTAAGCGTAACTTTGGTTGGTACTGAGCCGGCTGCTAGAGAAGGCAGAGACGGCCCGTTGAAAGAGGCACTGTGGCTATGGCTGTGGCTGTGGTGCGCATGAGGGGCTCTCCTCTTGACCACCAAGGTCACCGTGTCTCCCGAGTCCCTGAGGACTTGGACTGCGGTGGCGTAGTCCACGTTCTGGAGGGAGATGTTGTTGACCGAGATGATCCTGTCGTTCACCCTGAAAAAAAGATCGACTGAGTTCTCTAAAAAATACCATCAAAATAATTTCTTTCTTTGTATGAGGTATTGATTGGGTTAGGTTACATGTAAGTAGGGAGATCCCAGATGGGTCTATTGTGGCTCACCGCTAGAGGTTACAGTTCCTTGTACAATTCCTTTTTTTTAAGTCCATGGTTGAATGAAGTGCCTTAATAGCACACAAAGTCCTAGGGACGTCCCTATTTGGTACAATTCAAGTCCGAATGTCCCGGACCAAAAATAAGTGTCCTTGGGACGTCCCATTCCGTACATCTCATGCAATGTCCGAGCAAGGACGTCCACGTAATGTCCCAGCTGATACATCATTTCAAATGTCCCAGAAATAGCATCCCTTAGACGTCTCACGTGGTACATATTGTAGAATGTCCATGCAAGGACGTCCTTGGCATGTTCCTGATGGGATATGATTATAAACGTTCCTTTAGGGACATCCATCGGATTTCCCGAGTAGTACATATTCTGGCATGACTTCAGATCTTATATAATGTAAGGGACATTAGACAACCATGAAATGTCCCTGATAGTACATTCCTTCAAATATCTCTGCACAGATGCCCTTAATATTTCCAGGATCGTATAACAATCAAAATGTCCCTTAGGGAAATCCTTCGAATGTCCCTTTGGGATATCCGTCGGATGTCCCAATTAGTACATGAACTGTACTTATCCGATGTCCTAAAAATAACGTCCTACGGACGTCCCAGTCGGTACTTTCAATATGTTGTCCCTGCGAGGACGTTAACTGACACCTCGGATGTCCTAATGATGTCCTCTGCTTGATGAGGAATACTGTAAGATTTAGGTATTCGATAGTTGACCCAGGGACATTCCTCAAGGACGTCCCTAGTTGGTCCTTAAGTGGGATATTTGTGCGTCCCACAGACGTCCAATGGACGTCCACGATACCAAATTCGAACGTCCTATGGACGTCCTGAATGTCCCGACAGGGATGAGATCGGTAGGTTATAAATTGGTTAAACCAAATATGTGGATCCTCAGTCTCTCCAAGCAAGAGCATGAGCATAATATGTGTTCAGTCCTGTTGTCCTTCACACTTGTGCCGGATTTATACTTTTCATGAGTATAGGCCACTTCATACGTATCACTTTTACTTATAGGCTGTTATTAGGTACACTATATTCAGGGGCGGACTGGACCGGAGGGCGGGAGGGCGAAGCCCTCCGCGCCTTTGCCCAGTGGCGCCCCTGCCCTAAGAATCCAAGAAAGCAAAGAAAGAAAAAAAAAACGCCGCTGTCGCGCTTTACGAAGGCCAGAAAGCAACGTTTTTTTTATTTTCAAATGCAGACTTCTTACTTGGAATTCTGGACCACCTGGTATAAAAAGTATGTGAGCTTTTACATCTTCTCTTTCATCACAACTTGTTTCATCCAACAAGAACCATTTTTGTGTGATGAATTGGTAATTACCCAATCAATTTGGAAATGTACTGAGTGATACGTTAGTGTACCACTTCCTGTAGCTATTTTATTTTTTATATTTCAAAAATGAATAAAAACTTGCCTCACAGGGAATTTTTATTAATTCTAGAATCTGAATTTAAAAAAATGTGAGAGCTTTGAGTAGAACATCTTATATTCAGGGTCCAACGATTCAATAGGGACAGTATTGCTATTTCCTAAACGGTTAGAGATAGAAATTTGATCAGATTGAACAAAAGTTGCGTCAACCTCTTCAATATGACGTTTTACAACTTCAAAAAATGTAAGCCGTTTCTGAAATATTTTGAAAAAACTGAAAATCACTGATTTCATTCATTTGCTCAGTTGATATTTGGGAAAAACTATTGAAATTTTGTACCAGGGCGCTATATCTGTTCTTTATATACCATTGAATGAAAATAGCGCTAACGAACAGTAGAAACATTTTCAAATGTGGTAGGCCATGAAAATAACTCAGTCGTCATGACTACAATATCAATACTTCTTAATAACCATGAATAACACGCTACATTATTACAAAAGGCACAGAAAAACTCAAAATATAAATTTTTCGTTGAATAATCGAGATACTATTTCCTCTTACTATTATTGAAGGTTTTCATTTATTGTAAGACTTGGTCTTGACATAAGTTTTATTCCAGTTATGTTTCTATGATTAAATTTAAATTGGTAAATCTCTGAAAATAATAAGATAGAATATTTCTGAGAATCCCAACTTCCTTTTCATCCATGATTAATTACCTTAATACTCAAAATTTCAATATCTTCTCTCTAATATTAACCAAGAGAATAATTAGGAACGAAATCAGAGATTTTAAGTCCTTTCAAAATATTTCAGGAATGGCTGACATTTTTCGAAAGTGCATAACGTCTATTGAATAGGTTCAAATTAAGCAACATTTTTATCAAATCAACTTTCTATCTCTTACTGTTTAGGAAATAGCAATACTATCTGTATTGAATCGTTGATGAGACACTGTATATTTCCTTACCATCGGAAAGACCTCTCAAAGAGCTTTCCAAAAACACATCATTCAAAATAATCATCTTCCATATTTTTCAATTCATGGGTATCCAAGACTAACAGAGTTTGATCGATTTTTGAAAGATTTCTGGAAAAAAAAATAATGAGAATGATTGCAAATCTGATCAGTAAAAAATTAAAATGTTATCATTGTTATGGCCTATACTCTCAAACACCATTCAAAATCGATGAAACTCTGTTTCGAATCATTTTAAAAGCCCATATTCAAAGGAATACATGCAGAATGAATACATGCAGAAGATGATGATTTTTCAGAAAGTGAGAATGTATCTGTTTATTCGAGAAGGAAATAATATCATATATCAGTGATCGGGGTTGTCTTCAATTTTTTATGCAATATTCCAATATTGGGCCAAATCCGAGTTGAGATTCGGAATAAAAAAAAATGGTGCACTTCTACGCCTCTGTATAAACACTCAGACAATCATTTCATGTTGCGCCCTTTGATCCACAAAGCCTTCTAGCTTTTTTCAACCCAGTCCGCCCCTGACTATATTGTCCATATTAGGAACAAATCACACTCAGACCACATCAGACTCGATCAGACAAACACTTATTGGAAACAGCTGAAGGTGACATACCTATATAGGAACCCCACATTTTGGGCTGTAGTTTGTCTTGCATTCTCTATGTCATAACGATAAATTAGTCGCTCATACAGGGCTTCCGAAAGTAATCTGACATGTAAGAAAATTGAGAAAATTGTTGAGAGTTTCTGGTTCTGAAGATGGATGATCTTCAACTAGAAGTATACTACTTTGTACAAATGCACAAACTTCAACAAGTGATCGAGTAAGAAGAAACAAGTCTCTTCAATAACAAGTTTAAGTAGTCTTGAACAAGATGAATTTTCTGACAAAATCAAGCTTTTTGTGTTTTTTGTTTCCAATATTGTGTTGGAAGAGATGTTGCGTAATTTCAGCATTGAAAAATGAAATAAACGAGAATTACATTTCTTACGACATTTTTTTTTTCAAAATCATCAATAATGTAAAAACTTCACAAACGATAAGATTTCCACAAAATTCTCAAACACACGACATGTTTCGCTAACACAGTAGCTTCGTCAGGTGATATACTGGTACAAAGTTTCATTGTATAAAACTCCCATCATTCTTGGTATATCACCCTGTATATTCTTTCTCCCATTTTTTTTTCTGCCACTTCAAGGAAAGTTGCTGTCAGTCAATCTCGAACACTATACAAGTGTTGAGCTCGGTCTTCCTGTAATAATATCTATCAAATATTGTTGCAAAACACTCTGTATTTAAACAATATAAGATTTCATACAATAAAGCTCACAATAACTCATTCAAGAGGAAATCTGTGATATTTTAGCTACAAATGAGAATATTTCTGGCAGTAGTACAAATTATGACATTTTTCGAAAAAAAAAAATCATTTTCTCGAAAATCTGGAAGGATAAGAGAAAAATTGCGAAACCATTTCGAGGAATATGCTCGAGAATTATGAAAATATACTTGGAAAAAATCTCAAAAAAATATTCCATCAAATTAGGAGTATAGAGAAGATTTCAATATTTTGCAGAGGTTTGTTCGTCACCCTGTATAGCCAGAGGTTACCATGTATTTTCGGCAGCGGTCTATCGGTCACATACCCAATGGATCAATCTTCCGAATAAAGAAAACCGCATCTGAATAAGTGGAATTTTCGCGAAAATATTCAATGTTGAATTTAGAGCAAAGATGTGCTTGATGCGGTTCGATTGATCAGCAGTTTAGTTGTTTTAGTCGCATTTTGACTCCAAAATATAGGTCCTGACTGTCTGATACAATACTGATGTTTTTGTTCACTAGAGGTCTATTCAATCAACTCTCTTGCACACAATTCAACTGCGAAGCCCCGAAGCCTTGCGCCTGAAAGATTGTAGCATACTTGCCGAGATTGCTTTATGTTGGCTGTATAAACATGGTACTTATTGTGAATTAAATACTGTCTATAGGTTACTTGATTCTTTGGGATTTTCTCTCCTCGTGAATGAAAAAATATCGAATTTTTACTCATCTTTGGACGTTTCTGGACCGATTCTGCTCCCGTTCTCAACATGTAAATGCAAAATATGTTTCTTCGAAAGTTGTGCTGCTTATTCGCGGGAATCAATGTTACCAGGTGGCGCTCGGTTTTCATCGTTCCATGTCAAAGCCACGTCAAAACTGGGGGAAAACAAACTCAATCCTCACTCAATCCCATTAGTGCCATTAGCTTGTGTACTGTGTACTGATAAGAGTGATGTTTTTGAATTTCTTGACATTCATTGTCAATATTCGATTGAAATCGCTAATAATGCCTGTTGTATATTTTCTTTTGGCAGATATTTTGTTCTATTTAGATAAAGCCGACCAGTAGTGGAAGGAGAAGCAGTTCTCGGTGCTAATCATGAGATTTTGTGTGAGGCAGACTTCAACGAAAGACACATTTATGCACTTTGTCTACAAACTTCGGAGATGAAATCTTCCCCATATAAAGTAAAATTGAAGTTGGGGTCCAGAGGAACTCCTGTAGAACAATGGAGTTGGATCTGTTCCTGCAAAGCAGGACAATCTGGGTATTGTTGGGCTAGCTTTGGATTTTTTGGAAAAAAATGCATAGACACACTTTCCGAAATATAATTATTGCACTGAGCAGTACTTTTTTAATTTGCTCGTCATTTGTTTGAATTGTTTGAACTATCTCCAATTCTTCACCCGTTCACTGTTCACTAAACTAATAAAAATGTAATAATGTGAAAAATTAACCAACTCAACCATCATCACTACCAGCAGTGCCAACACTGTATGTCATTGACAAGTTTGACAACTACAGCTACAGCAAGCTGTATGCAATGCAGTCTATGCACTTCATCCATAGACAACAGTTTGTTTTCCCCCAGTTTGAAGTTCGTATTATGTTACCTAGATGTCGTCCACTTCGTGAATCTCGCGAATAGTTTGACACTTTTCAGTGTCATACTGATGTTGGCATATGAATGAGTGATTTTAGTCTACAAATGATAGAAAAATTTGTTAAACGCAGTGACATTTTGGCTCAAATCATCTGATTTGTTTCTCTACAAAAATATTGAAATAATACGCATATTTTTATTTTATAGAAACGAGGAGAGAAAATCCCAAAGAATCGAGTAAAATGATTGTGAATTAACTTACTGAAGAAGTCTTTCTGCAGGCCCAGATGCCAAAACATCGCTGACAGCTATGCTGGGGTCTCCTGAAGCGAAATGCGGATTGTCTCGACCACCGGAAACTGCTATCCCGAAACCATAGCCCGGAACTCGAGTTACGCATATGTGTTTGTACTCCCAGCCACGTTCCTGAAAAAAAAATCCTTCTTTGATTCAAATAAACAACGATATAATTATTGTGAAAACTTCACACCTAACGTTTTCGACCTATTCAAAGCCTTTATTTTGTATCGTTACCATCAACATATACATTTTCTTATCGAATACCACTTTAGCTTCAATTAATATCCGGAAATTTCCGGAAATAATCGGAGCTCTCGTGATATTATAAGTGAAAACTTCACACCTAACGTTTTCGACCTATTCAAAGCCTGTATTTTGTATATCGTTACCATAGCAACTGAACACATTTCCGGAAATATTTTCCTCCTCCTTAGGGGAAGGAGCATGAAATTACACTGGAAATTGTTGACGTCTATAGGTGAAATGACGAGCGTGCGGAAAAGTAATTTTTCCGCATTGTACTTTTCCGTACGATTTCACTTTTCCGCACGGTTTTTGTATTGTTGAAAATGAGGATATTTAGGATTGAATAAAATGATCTATATACCTATTCTGCCTCATGTGTCATTATGTAGAAATTTTTTTTTATCGCTTGGAGCGCACGAAAGGGAATCCCTATAATGTTCAAAGAACATCGTGCGTTCCTAGGGAGGATAGGGATAGGAGGTAGGTATTGGAATTTTTTTTTGAACTTCTGGAGATTATATGTTGTTGGGAATACTTCCTCAGGCAATGAATTCCAGAGCCTAGCCGTTCTATGGATGAAGGATGAAGGAGTTTTGATAAAGTGCTGTTCGACATCTTTCGAGGTTGACAAAGAAAGGATGTGCTGACTGGGCTTGTCTAGTTCGTCTGACTGGTATTGCTAGTGAAGGGATGATAGCAGAGATTTCCGAAGCACATTTCCCGTGGAAGTATCGATAGAAAAGTGAAAGGTGCCGACCTTTCTACGGTGTTCCAATGATGTCAAAGAGTGAGTGAGTGTGGCGTCACCCACCTGGCGGATGGCTCTTCTCTGGATGGAATCTAAAAGCATCAGCGTATGTTTTGGTGCTGACCCCATATGTGGGAACAGTATTCTAGAACAGGCCGTATCTGCGCTTTGTAGATCATGAGAAGCTGTTGAGGTGTAAAGTAGCTTTTCGCACGGAACAAGAATCCGAGTTTTTGTGAAACAGCTTTTGCGGTGGATCTGACATGATTATCCCATGAAAGAGTGTTGCTGATGGAAATACCGAGCATAGATATGGTGGGCTTGGTGGAGATGGTGGTGCCAGACATTACAATGTCGGGCATACTGAGTTCCGCCTTTCTAGAGAAAATACAGGCTTGAGTTTATTATAAACACGCACTCGTGGGAAAAACATTGTACCTAACTCTTGCGGAACATTTCTTTTCCATCTTTGATGGCTTGCCCGAACTCCACTCCAAAAATATATTTTTACTAACTTTAACTAAATGAGTTTGTATAAAACTGACAGATTGCGCTACTATCGACTCATTTTTTATTACTTCATCCAACCTAAGTCGTTCAATTGTATTTTGTTTAACCTAATAATATAACGTGAGCAAATTTCTTGTTAGAAAATATATATTTATTTGTATTTTTTAAATATAATTTCGGTGTGAAATTTTCTTCAATTAAAAACAGAACATTTTTTCTCGAACATGAATATTCACAACATTTTCAAGATATTCGTGTTCTCGAAAAAATTCCCAGTGATATTTGAAGCTCTAGTGGTATTATATCTGAAAATACATCGCATAGAATTATTGTTAGGCAAAAAGAAAATGGCTATAAGATGGAGGATGAGATTTGTGATTATGGTCCGATAATTGATTCAAAACTAGTTTGAAGGGGTTTTCGGAATTGGAGATTTTGAAAATGTTGTCGAAATTCATGAATTCAAGATGGCTGCTCCAAGATGGCTGACGAGATTCAAGGTTATGGTCTGATTCGATTGATAGAGAATAATAAGAAAATTAAATAACGTCACACTCAATTCAATATGGCATACGCCCCAATAATATGGCGGAAAGAATTTTCCTATGTAACAAAATTATATGGGCATCAAATAAAAGGGTTTCCTGAGGAGAATACGAAGAATAAAATGACGTCACCGCCAAATTAAATATGACATACACTTTTACATTAAAAAACTAATAGACTCAAAAGCTTGAAGTGAAATTAACAGACTAAGAAAGATGTCTCTATTTAGATGCACTAGGATAAAGAGAAAAATCAACTTCAAATTGAATCAAAACCATCAATGTAGGTAGGTACTATACATTATTCAATTTACCTATATGAATAAAAGCTTGTCGCCAGTTTTACTTAGGTAGGTATGTAAATAAACAGAAATACAATGATATTATGTATCTTGATCCTCGAACAAATTATCTGAAAAATTAATGACTAGTTATAAGTGTTTCATGAAATAAACTATAACACAGGTGAATCTCGCTGCAAGCTTTTATACCTATCACATTATTCGTATAATGTAATAATTTGATGGGGGTTATAGATGTAATTTGAAGTTCTTTAACAGCATTCGACTGAAGACTTCTTTTAATTTTTTTTCTATTGATTTATTTATAGTTTAATGACACATGAATGTGACAACACTGTAAGTTACAAGAAATTCCTACCAAACGGACGCCATGCGGTCAACTCTGTGTTATGTTAACAACTTAACCATTAACGATGCAGAAAACAAATAAAAGACCATAAAATTCAAGGCTAAGACAAGAAGTTACGATAATTTATTTCTCCTGTTTTAAAAGTGAATCTTACCATCCATTTAATGGTCGCTGCGTGGAACAGATAATTCAATCGAAATGGAAATTGATATTTGAATTATATTATTGAGATTGGATAGGTAAACTCAGTGGACTGAATAAATTAGCAATAATAGAATGAATGAAATATTTGATGACGGTAAAAATGAAAAGGGTAAATGCACTGGTTCTCGACCAGTTAACCGAAATGTCAACTTTGATAGTGGTAAATTCGTGTAAAATCTCTTATTATTGTATTGAAGTTAGTGTATATCGATGCCTCGATGACTTGAAAGTAATTTGTGAATATTTTACAAGTTTTTCATTCAACTTCTGAAATCTTGGTAAAAGGCGTAAATCTACAATTTCACTGGTTCTTGAACACCCCGCAGAGTTCTCGACCATTTTGATGTTGGTTCTCGACCATCAGTTTGATTCACAAGGAAATGAAATAATGAAACAACACTTGACATCTCGCTTGACATGTAAAGATTATAATGCAAAAATCATTTTATACTCAAGCAGACTATTAAAAACTGATGAAGAACTAAAATAGTTATTTAACCAACTAGTGTATTAATGAGGACGATTAATGATCGAGATATTTTAACGTGCGAGCGAAGCGAGTGCGTTTAATGTTCGAGATAATTAATCGCCTTTTAATATACAAGTTGGTTACAAAATTTTTCCGTCGACTATATTTCTCATTTCTCCTGCAATGAAGAAAACTTGGTTCGCGAATTCATCATTCATCTGGAAACTGCTTAGAATCACCCAGTAGCCTTGTTACTGACATTAGTGACATTTGTTGAAATGATCAACATAGGAAATAAATTCCTTGTGTTAGAAAACAGGGATTAAAATCGTGTCAGAAACTTGGAAAGGCGAACCCGTTCACGGAAAATCGTCGATGAAATCCATATTTTCGATTTAAATGCAGATTCCTCTAGTTATAGCATAATAAACAATGAATGCACGCGGTGTATGTTTGGTCGCCTATAAAACAATCGTGCATTAATAGACAAATCGTCCATTAATAGGGGTCATTAATGAACGATTTCATACCTATACATTAAACTTAGTCGTTAATACGAGGTCGACGGAAAAATACTTATTTTTAAACATAAAACATAAGAATAACCTAATGGTAATTGCCCCTGTCATTGTTTTGATTCCTATAAGAGTTATGAAGAAAAATATCTACACAGATCACATTTTTGAATTCTTGCAGCTGCAATAGGTACTTCATGGTGAAATAGGATGCATATTTTAATGTAAAAATCATTTTATAACTTTGACATAAGATAAGAGAGGTAATCAGATATGTTGTGGTCGAGAACCAATATTTAGTTCAAACTGGTTATCTTATCGACCACAGTGGTCGAGAACTGGATATGGTCAAATTGGTTTTTGACCATCAATAAATGAATTGCAGAAGAAATATTATTTTGGCCCTATTTGATGGTCGCCAACTAATTTTTAACAAGTATAGATATGTAAATGAATCAGTATTTCGAGAAAAATTTTAACATTTTTCATAGAAAGTATATATCTAGACATAAACCGAAACATAAACAATTATTCAAGAAATGTTTGAGTGTCAAGACAAACACGAATTTTCCATACAAAAAAATCCCATTTTTTATGTTGAAAACGGGGACAGATTCGTTCCCGAAACGTCCAAAGATAAGTGGAAATTTGATATTTTTTCTATACCTTTATTCCTCTTCTCCAAACCTTCCTCAATACAAATTGTCACTGACAAGCAAGTGAATTTTTCTTTTAGGCTCTCTGATAGGAAAATTCTTAAACACTGTGACATTTTGGGACAAATCATCTGATTTGTCCACACTACACGTAATTGAGATACCTAGTATTCATATTTTCATTTTATAGAGACGAGGATAGAAAATCCCAAAAAAATCTGGAATAATGTCTGATTTGGGTATGGAATTGTTCATGAAACATACTTAGAATTCAAAAATGTAATGAAAAATAGGTGTTTCTGTTTGAAAAGTCAGTTTATGGTAGCTACTAATTTTTGGACCACCCTGTGTACATGACTTTACATTTTGAAAAACCATTGCCAAAAATAAAAATGGAGGTGCCGTACATTTTTAGAAAAATATACCTACCTGAACTTTTAGAACTCACGCATCCTCACTGTATTTACTGAGAGGAAATCTTTTGAAACAAATCAAGCCAAATTCCAAACTCGAAACCCCATGAAACATGAAGGTTCATATTTCCTATTTCACAGCCAACATAAACATGAATAACATTAATAA